TGAGAGAGCTCCCACCAACGTCTCAACATCTAGTCTGTCCCTTGTGCGAATATGATTAGGTCTCTGTAGAATATTTCTTGTCGGGTTATGTCAAGCCAACTGATCCCAACTCACAGGAGAATACTTTCAAAAGTACTATCTTTCGCGGTCGAATGATATCTTTGAAATTGATAACAAACACGTCACCACTATCCCCACTATCATTTGACGGATGATACGCGTCTTAATTCCTTCGAATGAGAGACGAGAGAACCAGTGAGACATGTTAGCAGGTTATTAATACAGCAGTTCCATTGGACAATTATGGACGTGTAGAAGGTTGTATTTCTAGCCAAGGTGCTAGTCCTATGTGTCGAGCGGGCTTACCAAAAAGACAAGTGCTCATTTTTTTCTATAATCCAGTCTCACTTAAGCATTGTTATCGTTTACATACTAAAATAACATTAGCAGCCTATTACAGGCAAACTGGAAAAGGACGCTATCCTCATGTGGGCCCTGATAGTCCGATATCCAGGCTCTCCAGCTTGAGATCCCACTTGTTAATGCTAATTATTTGGTTTAAGAGATTCTAGTTGCATCCTAATAAATGAAATTGATCCCCGCGACTAGCAAGAGAAAAACATAAAGCACAATAAAACGTATTAGAAACGTGGACACATCCTGATTACTATGACTTATGAGTACGGTTGATAAGAAACAGGAAGCTAGGATCGTGTGAGGATTCTTGCCCAGGATTATATAGAACTTGCCCGATTACGGACAAGTATATGAGTTTAAAACCATGACAGCTAACAGAATAACAAATGAAAGTCTAGCCCAGTTTAGAAGTAGAGATAGAGAATAACAGAAAAGTTTGTTAAATCCTGGTATAAGCTGTGATAATCTATAAGCAGCGATAATGGATATCGTATAAAGTAATAATTATCGTGGTCAACTCAAGAACAACAACTCTGTTCGAAGAATAGAGTTTCTTTGTTAAAGGCGTAGCAGTAAAACTTTAGCAAATCACTGCATATGCTGACAACCATGATTGAATAAGCCCCCGGATTATTAAGAACACATCCCTAGCACTATAAACCACAGTTAACCATAAAATTAAATAACGAACATGTCTTTTAAAAGGCTACACTGTATCCTGCATCGCAAGTACTGATCTTTTATGGGAATTTTCACAGGCTGACAAGAGGGAATTCGTAAAAGAATTCTCATCCAGAACACTACCTGCCTGCCCACAAATATTTTGAGGGAAGATTCCCGAGCAGCAGATCTCCTGATCTCAAACTGATAAACAATGTTCACAAACTATCACGTCGGTGAAAATTGCCGCACAAGGGAAGCTGCGGCAATTTTCCCATTTGTCAAGCTCTAGAACTGTAGCCCATTTGTCAATTTGCAGCCATGAAGTACACTGGCAGAGGAAACCGGGAAAAGTCGGTATTAAGGGGATAATATCCGGATAAAAGGAAGTGGAAGAGAAAAGTTTGCCTCTTGTCCGGGCTGGAACGGCAGGGGGCGTGTCCGGGCTGGAACGGCTGGGGGCGTGCACTAAAGCAACTGTCAGCACTCTCTCAACTATCTGCTAACAACTCGCACAATTAGCGTTATATAGGAACATATCCTGCTCAGTGCAATTCTCCTGCCTTATCTGGACTCAGGGACCTGGGAATAAGCTGCGATCCTCGCTGGAAACTAGCAGTCCTCAGTTGTGCTAATGTTTGCATTCTTCAAATTGTTTGTGACCGATGCCAAGCAACAAGATAGGGTGATTTTGCTGAGAAAATGTTTCAAGCAATAACGGAAGCAGGGTTGGTAAGGGGTTAGTTACTTTGTGAATTTATACGTTCTAAGAGTAGTACTAGTAAGTAAAGTGTTCCACTGTTCTGCTTCGTCACCTGATATTAGCCTATTGCCTAACTCACTTATATAGTGCATATTCACTTAATTTTACTTAATTAGCGCTGATTTACGTATAGCGTTATTGTATGAGGAGGACAGCTAAATTATCGTTAATAGATGATCTCATAAATTTAGGGAAAGAATAAAGACATGGAAATTAATAAATCGGTTGTCAACATAAATCGTTTATAGCTTACAGCACATTTGTCAACAACAATGCAGACTAATTCCCTGCTTCTTATTTAACAAGTGGATAAAACATTCATAACAATTCACTCACTAATAACTAATAAAATAACCAATTTAATCACCTATAGTTCTAGACAAAAATTCTGGAGTCAGACAAGTAAATTGTAACACTTTAGATCCAGCTATTACTGAAAATATGCGTTGTATCTACAAATCGTCGCTGGATACAAAAAATATCCTGCGATACAAAAAAAAACGACGAGAAAAAAAAAACAATAAATATGCGGCATAAACCAGCACATTCGTCTTGCAGCGAATTTGTATCATTAAAGTTGTTAAAAATAGTCATGACAATTTGCAAGAACCCCTGAATCTTTCCTGCAGGAAACGAAATTCAATCTAGATTATCAGCATTTCTGAGCCATTGAGGACGCTAATTCCCATATTCCTAAGTAGCAGACGCTCTAGACAAGTGAAAATACCAAGAACAAAGTGCTCCCGTCATATAACTCAAAACATTTACACAATATTCCCGCCTGAATTCGTCAACACTTAATTAAGGTGTCACCGAATTGAAAGTGAAAAGGTGTAGAAGTAAAAAGAAAAAGAGGAGTGTCACCCCCCATTGAGGAATTCTACCAATTCTCACTCTCACTAGGTCACCAGTACCAATATCTTCATACTTGAGGGAGTAGTATCTAGAGTAACACCTCGACACAGCACACCCCCGTATTTTATGTTTTGTGCAAAAACTTTTACAGAGAAACGAGTTGTTTTATTCACAGAACTAGCGAACAGTTTGCCGGGAAACAGAGGTCCTACTTCCTAGCTAACCGGTGGTGATGTGACCAACTAAAACGGCAGCCTGGAGCAAGGCCCTCTAATTTAGAAGCCCCATTAAGACGAAGAAACGTACGTGGCCAGAACTAAGGGTGTATTGCCTATTGGTCACGTGATATAAAGTCCTTTGAATGAATATTGGAAATTGGACGACTTCATTGGTAAACTATCAAGAAAAAAGGAGGGCGGCGTTTAGTGTGGACAAAGAAAGAGACAATGTTGCAATAGGTGACAAAAACAATAATGTGTCAAAATCTGCATATCTAATGTGAAGCAACCTTAATGTTGAAAGTAGCGCTGCCTTTTAAATGAGCAAAATTGGGAGACAAAATGCATTGTCATGATGACCGTTTAAAATCCACGAACAAAATCCATCATAACCACGACCTGGACACTATAAGCAGTAAGCAACCAACATCGAGATCCCCGAGAGAGAACTGACAATAACTGGTCGACCTATGTTTATCCATAATCGACCTCTCCTCTTTCTCGAGAATTGACACGTGCTCAGCCGCGCGGTACATCACGTGACACGTGTTCAGGCGCGCAGCTGAGCACGTGACACCAAGGTAGGTGGAGAGATATGTTGGCAAGTTTATCTCCCTATAAGGGAGAAGAGCTGAGTGACGCGCCGCATGCAAGGGAGGGAGTGAAGTAAGGAAATGCAGTCTTGCAGTCACCTTGTACGTGCCACACTGTGAACTTAACAAATAGAGGCCTGTGTTTCTATTTTTCCGTCATGGAGGATCGGGGTAGGCACCCATTTCCTTCGCTTCCTGGACTCAATTCCTATGTCTCATCGCCACGCTTAGTTAATGGTGTGTCGGTATGAAAACTGGAAATTCTCAACTCACTTTTCAAAATATGAAGGAAATATTGGAAACAGCTGCGCTAGAATTCCACGCATCGCAAATTTCACTGGAAGGTTTGCCGTTAACCAGCCTGAATTATAAATCGATTACATGACATGTGTAGCGATATGAAACTTAATTTCAACATAAAATAAAGGTATGTTTATATAATGGACTCAAAGTATTTGAAATCAGCAACATCCTTCACCGTGATATATAAATACCCGGCTGTGAAGGAGATGGTACTGAATTTAAAATACCCAATTAGCACAAACCCTACAAAATACTTTGTATCAAGCTATAAAGGGGATTTAACAGTCAGAAACGTTCCGGCCTCTGTTAACCTGTCAAGATATTTGTGTGGACATTTTTAGAGTTCCCGACTACAAAGAACAGAATTGGTGAAGGACTCCGACTACAAAGAACAGGATTGGTGAAGGACTACGGAGACTGTTGTCTGAAGCTGTAGCGTTAGACAAGAAACCATCACGGACAGAGTCAAACCTACGTCAAACTAGTGTTCGGTAGAGGTGATACAGCTGTCTCTAGCGACAAATGCTGTCAGGTTAGGATAGTTCAGCTTAATTTCATTGGCAGGGAGATTAGAGAAAGTTCTGGCTTCCTTCCGGGTGGGTGTTAATAGGAAAATTACGGAAATTGTAAGATTTTACAGAACTAATTTATCAACACGTTATAATTATCTTATCGAAAATGAGAAGAAAGGATTCACAGCTCGCACGGACAGTTTGTAAAACAGTTCTCTTAAAAGAAGGTTTCTCGACAGATCAACTATCAGCGGTCCATCAGTGTGTTAATATACTAATATACTGCAAGAGTCTGTGAAGGCAAAAGTTACTGCAAAATTATCTTTCTGGGAATCTACACGATGCAATTAATTATTCCGGGAGCAAATTTAGTCACTGAAAGTAAATAGTACCAACAGAGTGGTGGCAATTTGTTGTTCAAATATTGCGAAATAAATCAGAAACAAATAAGTTCATGTGAGAGCTTGGAACTAGTCTAGATCAGGTAAGTGCTTCCCTGAATTGCCGTTCAGAACATCAAACAAACTTCAATTGGAAAACGCCCAACTTAAATCAAATCTTCCTTGAGAGCGTACCAGGTTGTCAATCTAGCTTCTCCACTATGATTCGCTTAAAATTATGGGTTTGTAAGATATTAAAGGGACAGGTCGTGCCATTTAATAGGCAATATAGTGACAATCTAAAAGCAATGTAATATGATATTTATGCGGATCGAGACTATTATTAAGGCATGAGAAACGTCACGACGCCCAAACCATGCAAAATTCAAACTTCAATATACAACAACAACCCTGCGTTGGCTAGTCACTCAGAAGAACGTCAGGTGAGTTTAAAAGGACTGTGGTTGACGGTACCGGTGAAAAGTGACAGGAGGAACCGCCCCACTAACGAGAGATACCTGTCACCATGGTGACCTGAATAACCTTTTATCTGATACCGGGGTTCCTGAAGCTTGTAATTATTTATGATTACGGCGGAACAAAAGCTTTCGGGAAACGTTTGAGAGCAGATAAAAAGGAGGGCTATACTCTCAAGCTGTCATGATGACAGTTGCTGTTTCATCATCAGGAAGTACGTTATGGCTAGAGACGGAACCACGGTTAGCTCGACCACATGCACTATTATTTTATTAGCCCTCAAACTTCCTCATATTTTATCTATACAAACAATGGCGTAGAAGAAATATAACAAACATAAATAAAATGAAATCATCAGTAAAATGTAACCCGCCAGCAGGAAAAACTAACTCTAAATTATTCTAAACTGCACAAATCACTACTTGTTATCACTACAAATCTGACATCAATCAGTCATTTATTTCATAATTTAAATCCAAATAAAATAAAAGTTAGCTATCCATTCGTGTCCTATATCTGTTGGTCCTAGGTTTTCGTTGAGTAGCTGGCTCTGTCGGCATGTCATGACTAATTGTGAGGTCCCAGAAGCTAGGAGGAGTGTTGGATATATTACCGTGTTGGTGCCGGTGTCTTGATACATCTCCTGGGATATTATAGTGGGTTACTTGATACATCTCCTAGAATAGTGTACATCACAATTTAGTTGCTCTTTACATTGCCAGTGTATTTCATCATTGTATTTCACTGGAGAATTACGGACTGAGAATTGTTAACGATATTCTTGTATACTGTGTATCGGGTATTTCCATAAAATACAGTGTATATATAATGAATGCTAATAACTGATAACTACAGTTATCACTCCCAAGAAGAACTCTACAAATCCACAAGTTCTGACCTATAAGTTTAGCAATCTCCTCATCATCTAGTCCAGACGCCTTGTAATACCGGTAGCAGCTTGCGCAGGAAGATGCCGCCATCTTAGCGCGCTCTTCTTTCTTCCGAACCACTTTCGTGTACTTGAAATCTGTCTTCACCTAAACGACATGGATTAGTCGGGATTGAAGCAGTATCGAAATATATACTTCTCGGTGGTAACGTGTTTCAGTAAGTTTATATAGAGTGAATAATAATTGATGTGGTAAAGTAACATTTGATGGAAGATAAATATGAAGTATTCACCTTGTAACTCTTAGTAGGTATTGCGGTAGAATTAGACGGTTTAGAGCTGGAGCTAATTTTAAAGTCGTCATCCTCAGGTTCGGGAGTTACTTCTCTGTCAGTGTTTGTAAAAGGTCCTTGTAAAAGATCAGTCATGTTTTCAGGTAAACTGAACCCTAATTTCTCTTCTGATATTGAAATATTGCCTTTCCATTCTGTCAACAATCCAAACTGCCTAGTTTCCCTAGTCAGGCTTGTAGTTGGTGTCACTGCTCCTTCGTTTCCTGTATAATTAACCTTACTGGGAGCTGTTGGTATTTCCGTAAGATCTGACTGAGACATGCCACCTAGATCTACGATAGGACTGACAGGGCTATCCGGACAAATAATAGGATTGTCCTTTACCGGCGTCCTTGCCGAGACGAGACTGATATCACTATTTATTAATGACTCATTATCCTCGTCAGTAACTTGTGTATCAGCTGCATATAACACCAAACTCTCATCTCCCAGCATGCCGGGACTTGAGGACAAACACAACTTTTTGACAGACTTGGGCGTTGTGGGCTTCGTCCTTTTCAATTTAGACACCCTCTGTTTAGGACTAGTTTTGAAGAAGGGGCTGATAACTGAACTTGAGACTTTCGAACTTGCGGAGCTTCGTTTGTGCGACAGATTGGGACTTTTAGGGCTGCAGAAAAAGAGTTTAGAATTTACAGGTTTAGGTTTAGAATAATGTCTAGGGCTGGTGGAAGTAGGTGAAATATCCCTGGTGGCTACGTCTGGAGAATCAACAGTGGTTGTATTTGAAGGAGCTGAGGGCGAACCAATTTCAACATGCACTCTGAAAATACATGGGATTAGTTTACACCTGTGTAGATAGTACTATATAATAGTAGAAGAAGTACTATATATAATAGTAAAAGATACAATAAACTATTATTATTATTATTATATAATTATACTCCAGCATCCAAGCGAATATGAATGACTGGCAAATAAGACTCAATAAAACCATATATATCAGCGATGATGAATGCAAAACGTACGGTGAAGGTTCGGTTAAGGGTCTATCTTTAGACTGGCACGTGCAGTTGTTGTGAAACGACTTCAGATACTTCGTTAACTTTATCCATCCTTTCTCTGCCTCCATTGTCTTTTCGTGACTCTGTCTGAGTTTATTCTTATACTGTGCAACTTGTTTCATACGATTTCTATTTTCTTCACTCGTCCTGCGAAATCACACTGGATTGAAAATACGATTTGGTGTACAATTGCCTACTGTATAACGCTTCTGTCCTACACTATCACGCGCCGTATCGAGTTCTACCGAGGAATTATTTCTATCTAATGGTTGATTTATGAACTTACTTCATCAGTTTGCTCTGAGTTTTCAGCAGAAGTCCTTTGGTCGTTAAATTTTGATTCTCTTGCTCATTGAGCCGACTTTGTAAATCTGTAATTAAAATAATGAAAGTACTAATTGGCAATGAAACCCCGAGACTGACAGTCAACTGATAATAGATAAAAATACTTTAATTACACGGAGTTGAAACAGTTGCCAATTATCTGTTATTGCCAGTGATCTTCCATAATATACAAACGCGATAGGGATCGCGTCAATTTTTTCAAATCGCGGTACACTCGCGCGAAGAAAACGACATTTTAACCACAACTTATGCTTCGCGCGCTACGACTCCGTTTCAAAAATACCAACCAAATTTGCGGCAACCGGCTGTAATTGTGTCACTCGTCAACAGAATTAACTTACATGATCAGTCATCAGTTATGCGTGATTTAAGTACATAATGTAAAACAATATTACATTTTGTAATTAAGGTATACTGAGTATACTCATATTGACATTTTTAATTGAAAAAAGCTTCAGTTAGGAATGAGTGAAATATGATTATGATTAATATTATATTTTTACCTATAGTTTACCTAGAATATGACCTGTTGAAATTGATGTTGTGTTCAGAATCTATTCTGAATCACACGGGATTGCGAATAAACGATCATGCAAATGTTACTTACATCTTATACCTTACTTTAAAGTCAGAACTACCAACTTAGTTAAGATAAGACATTGTGACCATCAAGAAGGCAAGTTCGATTAGTAGCAAACGTGGAGGTACAATCTCATCCATTAATAAAGTGTTACAGTGTATATTCAATTAATGAATATTGAAATACTTGACATGCTAAGGTTCGTGAGCATAGTTTTCACTTCACATTAAGCAGTGACAACATGGCCTTATTGTACTTATCTTTCTACGTTAATAATAATGAAACTTAAAAGTAAGAATCTCGCTAAAACAGCAAAGATAAGACTCTGATAGTTATAACTTTATAATGCTTTTGGACACGAAGGGAAACACACACGTAAGGCTTGAAATCTTCGTAAAACTACATCCTCAGAGCCTCTGATTGTTATAACGCTAGAAGTAGAAGATGATGCTAGTAAGATCTACCTACAGTGGAGTACCAAATAGTTTGGTTATTTCTAACGTGCGCGCATTTTTGGCCGCACTAAATAACCCCTCACGTTCCTAACCAGATATTTGATTCACGATGTCAATCCTTCCTAGCTCGGCGAGGCCCAGTGGTGCATCTCGCCGATCTACGGTTGCCGAGAATATGCGATCTGTGGTTGCGAGAATATGCGCGGCGCGGCCCAGTAGTGCATCGCGCTACAAACCAGATATCTGTTGAATGAGTGTTCTGTTAAGTTCGTCTAGTTCCAGCAGGTGGGTTGAGAAATCCTCTCTAGCTTTGGTTACATCCATTCTGTAGTTACTTAATCACCTAATAGACCAGTTTGTTTTTAACAAATCACAACTGAATTTATGTTTTCAGCTTAAATAAAACATCAGAATATTATAATGAGTAAACACAGAGGAAAAGTTTTCCAATTTAGAGTCTAAGATTAGATAACCGCTGACCGGTATGATTTTAACACGAATGACAGGTTACGCTGTCCGACCATTATTCCACAGTATTACTGCATTTATACGGCATAATTATTGAAAAATGTTGCGTATATTATCACAGCTTGCACATAATTATAAACGTATGAATTAATAATTAAAACAGTGACTGCACAACTTTTGGCAGCTTATAATAATTAATATATTATAGCACATTATTTATGTTTGATCACGGGTAGATAAATAATATACTGCAAAAAAAACGGTTAAATTTTGAGATAGTTTACAACTGTCAATAATTGGATAAAATTTCAAAGAAAAGCTAGAAAATAATTTTGGTGATAAATAGGTTAAATATCATCACTGATAACGTTCCTGTCATAACCTTCATTATAAACATCATCAGTCATATTATGGGGTTCCATAATTTATAATGCAATTTAACTTTTAAGTAATAACTTACATAATTCTATTAAACTACTACGGTCTAGCTGTCAAGATATTGTTAACTTAAAAGTCCAGAATCAATCGTAGATTTGACAACAAAGTCTGAAGTCAGTCAGCATATTATAATAAACATGATGATGTATGACAGAAGCATAAGTAAGTACATACATGTTACATGGCGAGATCTCCATCCAAAAGGATTAGTCTGCGTCATCTGCGTCATTACTTTGTATTATACAACTTCGGCGGGTAATATTTCTCCATCCTTTTCGATCTGCAGCCAATCTTCTCATACAATCAATCGTGAGTCCATTACGATCCAATCTCTGCTCAGCATCTTCAATAAATACATCATTTAAGCTCTTCCTAGGCCTGCCTCTTGATCGTTTCCCATGCTTGGGTTTCCATTCAAGTAGATAGTTAGGTAACCGATCTTCAGGCATTCTACTGACATGTCCAAACCAACGTAGCCGTTTTGTTGCTATTATGTCAGTAAGAGCAGTTATTGAAGCCCTTCTTAAAACATCTTCATTTCTTACTCGATGGAACCACCTCACTCTCAGGATTCTGCGTAAGCAGTACTGATGGAAAGACTCTAATCTTCTTGTCTGCACTTGAGTCGTGTTCCATATCTCACTTCCATAGGTCAGAATGGTAAGAACAGCTGCGATGTAGATTCGCACTTTGTTGTTAATGCTTATGTTCTTATTCTTCCAAATGTTATTGAGTTGGTTAAAAGCTCCGGTTGCTTTTCCAATCCTGACACTTATTTCTTTATCGATCTTGCCATCCGATGTAATTTTGGCACCCAAATAAGTGAATTGAGTGACCTGCTTTGCAGAGTTTCCATCGACAGTAATATCTATGGTCCTATTCTCTGGGAGTGGGTGCTGCGACGTATCTTTCCCAATTACCATGATCTCTGTTTTCTTTGCGTTCATCTTTAAACCCCCAAGCCCACAGTATTTCGCAATATTGTCCGTTGTTTCTTGCAGTCCCTCGACAGTGTCATCCATGCCTGCTATGTCATCAGCATAGTCCAAATCAATGACACATTTTTCCGGTTGTCTGGAACTTTGTCTGTACTGAAGAGTAAAACCACGCGATATATTTTTAAACTTCTCGGCAAGTTCTAATCCCCAGTTAAGTACAAGGTTGAAAATGGGAGGCCCTTGCACATCACCTTGTCCAGTCCCCGAATCGACATCAAACCATCTTGTCAATTCCCCATTGTAAGTAAGTACACAAATATGTCCACATCATAATAATATAACAACACCGGCGCGACAAAATTAGAATTAACTAGAGATCAAAAGATTCAAATAAGATCAGTTAAAAATCATCAATTAATAATGAAACAATAATGCGAGTATAATATATGATTTATCAAACATTTAATTCTAATCCCCACTGGAGGAAGGCATCTCCTCACTACTCATACAAAACACCTTGTTACTATTCAGCAGTTTAGGTACAGAAATATCAGCAGGAATATTACCATGACACGCAAGAGAACCACCTTTCTTATCCGTATTTATCTGAACTTTCATACTACACAAAGTAATCGCCTCCCTGCCGATAGAGTCCTGCAGTAGCGTCCACTTACTCTCATACATCCCCTCAGCAGAGGGGGCTACAAACTTCACAGAGAACTCCTGGATATTATCAGTGGAGGAGGTCCACTTGCCCACCCCCGCCCCACCTACAGGATGGATCGTCCCACCTTCATCAACCAGCTCCCAGCAGCTCTCAACACCCTGTTTCACCACAAGACTCCACACTACCTCCACCTCCGTACCGGGGGTTACTGTTACTATACTGTTCTTACAGGGCCCCAGGATGTACTCCTTGTCAGGGGGTATTGCTTTAGCTCTCTTGCTGCTACAAACCTGGTTATCTACATCCTCCTCACGGTTAGACTTCCTACTCCCCCTGTCTTGGGACTGGTTATCTGGAGCTGGCTCCTGGTTAGTGCTAATTGTCAGGAAACTGGAGTAGAGAGGAAGGGAGGAGGACACCTGGGAAACTTGCGAGGAATGTTGATCTCCGATAAACATAGCATCGCAATTATCTAGTACCATATCACCCTGTACCACTTGCAGGTGAGAGTTCACCCCACCCTGTACCACTTGCAGGTGGGAGTTCACACCACCTGATTCTGATGAGCAGCCTGATCTCCGCTGAGTTTTATTACAACAACACAGCTTACTGCGGTGTGCCAGATCCCTGATCAGCTCTGGACCGTGTTTACTCAGGTAGTTCTGTACAGCTAGTTCCACAGCGGTCTGAAACTTAGGGGATGTCTCGTCAACAACAACCGGCACCCCCGCATTAGCCACACCTGGTCCGGTGGTAACATTCAGTTGTAGTAACTGCCGTGTGTTAGCACAGGTTTCCTTGATTGTCCTGAAGTGTTCCTCGCTGGCAACCTCTTCGCTGGATCCCAGGTCACTAAGTGTGTAGAACCAGTTACCGGGAGTGAGTTTAAACTTCTGGGTTACCTCGGAGGTTATCTGCTGCCAGGAGGCACTGTCAGGCAGGTTGAGGTCACATTCCTTTCTGCTGTCTATGTAGAGGGTACAGGGTATTGAGCTACCCCAGTGGATCATAGCGCCATTTTTGTAGTTTTATTTATATCCTTAAAGTTGTTTGAAAGTTAGTATGTACCAATAATGATGTCATGTACGAATAAGAATGAGCCGGCTGCCGGTTGATAATTGCTAATTTGACTTTCCAGTTATAAAACCTTTAAGTTTGTTGTGATAGAAGCATATTCATATTCGGGGGTTTAGTGTTAAATTATTAGTTATTTATTGATACTTTTCAACGTAAAACATGCAGTCAATTTAAGAAACAAAGAAACATTTCAAAATTTTAAGCAAGCATCAAGGTCAAATAAAATGATTAGAATAGTATTTATTTCATGACGACACTGATATAATTGATGAAATAAACTGATATAATATACGACAGATAAGGAAAGTATAACTCTGCCGGTATTGTTCAAATTTCTACTGATTTTCATACGTCATAATTTAACTAGATAATTCAATTCTAAATATAATAAACATGCAATTATTCTTGAGAACCAAGAAAATTATTCTTGAGAAAAAGAAAGTTGTAGTTCCAAGCTTTTAAATAATCAGGATAGAACACGTTAAAATAATAGGCTATAATATCAAAATATGTACACGTCGTGATAAGCCGTGTGTTTAATAACATAATGATAAACCGCAAAACTAAAACAGAAAAAAAAGGAACCAAGAAATGGTTCCTGCGCCAAGCAGCATGAAGTTTTAATTTTGTTTTTGTTGGCAACCACGGTACAGCATTTAAACATTTTCCAATTTTCTGGTGTTTCGAATTCTGCAGATCTCGAATTTAAATGTCCTCGGATGTTCTGACATACTTATGACATCTCTTGCAGAGGAAATACGGCATTAGCTTGAACGGAATTGCAATGAAAACTGAGATAATCTGAAGATATGATGCACGAGCAGATTATCGTTTAGAAGCAGCACGTGTGGCACGTGTTGTCCGCGTGGACCGAGTCACTGTGGAAGGTTCTTCGTACGTCTGCGGATGTCTTGCTTTCATAGTCGCCAGATTTAGATGGTAGGGTGATCCGTTCTCCGTGTACACAACTACGTACCCTCTCTTGGGTTGAGGTACAACCTGTCAGCACGTGCGTTTGTTAAAAACTAAATTTAAACGTCAAACAAATTGCAGAAATCGCAAATTTCCACAGAAAATCAGAATATTGGGCAATATTAATCACACAAGATAGATTTAAAGGTTCTGATACGTACCTTGGGTGTGATAAAGAGATTGGAGGGGGGCTGTGCTGCTCCCGGAGCAGGGGTAGAGAAATGCTCTGCAGGAGGCAGGGTGCTCTGTCTTGTTGTTTGGAGGGGGGCTGCCATCTTCTTGGTAGATTGGGGCTCTGTGTCCTCGTCTCTGAGAGGAAATGAGGTTAATTATTTAGCATGATAAAAGGTAATTATGACTAAGATTGCATTTTAAAGTTTTAATGTCACCATAATTACATACTATTATAGTACCAATCTAAATATTCAAAATCACGTGACACTGACTTCCAGAGTTTTCACTCACCTAATCTCGTAGTGAAGTGGTCCCAATGCTACAAACTTGCCGGACCGAGGTGCCCCATAGTCCAACATGTATCCCGCTTCAAAGAACTCCTTCAGAGTCAAGTTTCCGATTTCTTTGGGAACACTTTCCGTGAACTCTTCGTGGGCTTCTTGGTTTGATTGTATCAGCTGTGGTATCGGTTGTTGATATGTTAATAGAACCCAATGTTTCATATCAATCCTCGAACACTAATTATTTATTTTTTTAAATGTTCATAACAATGAAATAAAAATATAATATGATGAGAAGAAGCGATGCAATGGGAAAGTAAAGTTCATCCTACCCTTTCACCAAAGGCTTTCAGTTCATCAGTCATCCTTTCAATTTCTCTATCTACATTTATCTGATTGAACTTCAGTCGTTCAGCTCCGATACTTTTTCGTCGATTCTGCTCAGGGGTAATTTCCTTTTTTACCCCTTTTGCTGGTGCTGCACGTTTCTTTCTCCGAGCCATTCCTGCAATTTTGAGAAGTTACACGTGACTTTATTATTATCGTTTACTTTATCGTTTATTAGTATATTAGGTTCAATTGTTTTTCCTCGTATAATTATCTCCTAACCATGGCTAAACTGACAGTATATTACCACAGTATTTCGTTGGGTAGAGATGGTAATCAATGAAAGTTACACAATGAAACTAGGAATGAAAATGTTCAACTATAACTAATCTCAATCGTGTAATTATAATCCATGCAAAAACTAATAATAATAATAATATTATAATGTTAGATAATCTGAATGCAATTTGAATAAATCTGTTAAAAATAAAAGATCAGCGCATAAAATAAATCTGTTAAAAATATAAGATCATGGCATAATCTAAGGTACCCGAAGACCCGACCTTGGAATTCCATTATATGAAATTTGGTTCGGATATGGCCGGAATTGAACGTGCTAAAGCGGACGTATAAGAGAGGAAGAGAAAGAGGGAGGAGAAGAGAGAAAATGCAAGGTGCGAGAAGATTGCTAAAACGTTGAAATTAAAATGGAATACAATTTGATCGTTCAAAACAATATAACACATCATTCAACTTTATCATCGTTTAAAATTATTTATAAAATTCTGAACATTCAATCTGAGATTTTAAAAACTAACTCAAAGATGATTGAAATATAATAATTTGAACACTAATTTACACAAGTCAAAGTAAATCATAAATTTTTTTCAAAGCTTTCCCATGAACTAAAAGTTCAGTTAGTTCACTCCAATATTCTCTGTTTCATAGACTACTGCAACTCAGTCTATTATGGTATAACAGAAAAGAATCTTCATAAGCTACAAAAGATACAGAACAATGCTGCTAGATTTATCTTTGGTCTTTACGGAAAAAAGATACGTGAACCTATCATGCCTTACCTCAAAAAGCTCCACTTTCTGCCTGTTCGGTTCAGAATTAAGTTCAAAATATCACTTCTGGTCTTCAAGTGTCTTAATAACATAGCCCCTCAGTACTTACAAGGACACGTCAATCTAAGGGAAGTACGAAGACAAAGTTCCAGACTAGATGATGACTTTTATTTGTTGAAAGTTCCTCCTGCTCCTCATTTCAGACGAACAGATGCTGCATTTATGTTTTGTGGACCAAAAATTTGGAATGAACTACCCTACTCAGTGAGATCATTATCATCTGTAGAATGTTTTAAAAATGCCCTAAAGACGTTTTATTTCCAACTAGCTTTTGATAATATTTCTAATATTTGTCCATAATGTCTGAACTGATATGAAAGTGCATAATTTTAGTAACTTCATACAAATATTTGTTCATAAATTCTGAACTGTTTAAAAAGTCCATAATCTTGCTATTTCAACACTAAGTCTCGCTTGAATGACTTTAATGTACATCTTTGTTGGGTATATTTTAATGTCGAAGCGTGTAATAAATGTTAGAATTTATTTATTTATTTATAAATAAAATATCTCAAAAGCTAAAAAATGAGCTACACGGTCGAAACTAGGATAAAAACTAAACATTAAAGCTAAAAATACTTAACTACAAAAATGTCAAAAATACATCACAATTTGATAATTATTTGATAATTTGATAATTATTTCGAAATCGAATATAATATTTATTACACAATTTCTACAAACTAACTGCAAAGCAAGAATTTATGTAAAATACACTAATTTCAGTCGGCTAACTAATCTTCGTCAAAAGATATTATTATGATTAGAAGATATCCTTGAATCAAAATAATCATATCGTAGCCTTTTCTGTCCAACGAGGTCAATAAACGAATGTGGGAAAAGGTTTTCAGTCAACCACTTCAGATAGTTCCTCTGCACAATCAATCAACCTATCATAGAGCTGTTCGATGGATTCCCTGAGAAATGTATTCTCAGGACATTCTTGGAACTGTTTTATGCCAGCACAAAGATCTGGACATGACAAGTTTACACGAGTGACTTCCTCAAACTTACAGTTTCTTTGGTGGGTCTTCTTTGAAATACCATCGACATCAACCTTAAATTCACCTTTCACAAGGGTATATCTGTAGACGATGCTGACATTAAATACAGCGAATAAATCATCATGGTAGAGAGCCCTCACTGCTATGTACATCACTTGATATAGTAGCTTTAAAAAAATCTTCGAGCATACGTAATTTACCTTCCCAGTAACTAGTCGTGTCGGATGAGACAAAGGTCTGGTAAGTTATACAATTTCCGTTTTTGATCAATACGTTTTCAATGTGCTTTGCTCGGCGTCTTTTTATGGAGATATTATCACCCATAAGGCCTTCACACCAACCAAGAGTAGCAGAGTACCTCACATTGCTACTTAAATCGAAAAAACTTATGGTAACAAATGATTCTCCTTCTCCTTTTTTGAATCCTTGTTGAGTCAGCATCTTCGTCATCTTACCTGCACTTATTTTAAGATCACAAGAAAATTCAGCACTTTGCATACAATCAGGGTAGCCTACATGGACATCAGGGCTAAACTTGTGTACATAAAATGAGACACCTCCTAGACGAACTGAAACCTTAATTTCATTCAAGGTGGGTAAACTTTCCCAGTCAAGGAACATGGAGAAACCTCTTCTCATCCTCTTTCTTAAATCGTGAGAAATATTGTTTCTATTTGCAAAAAATCAAACTTTTCCACCCTGCAATTACCCATCCTATCACTTGATTCCGGCTCAATCTTCTGGAGAATGTTGAGTGAGTCTTCTTCGAAGATACAGTCCCTGAAGTCAACTCTTAACATTGCTGGGTGTGTTTCAACAAGACAAATTGTAGCTTCTCCAGTGTCACTGCATACCTTTATGTCTCTATACAAATAACTCAGAAAAACTCTGTATTTTCTGATGCCAGGTAATCTTTTATTGAAACTCAGCCGCCCTAGCACTTTTGATATGATCATACTCGTAACTTGTGGGCTTGCCACAATTTTCAAAGAGCGGTTATCTTCGTCAAACTCGAGAGATTCAAGTTCACTATTGAAATCTTCGGACAACATATCCAAGTAGTTATCTTTCACAAGCGCAGTTTTAGACCCATATGGCACAGGAAGATAAGAATGGTGGGAGGTTCCATTTGAAGAAGGAAACTGTCCAGATCTGGATAGTGTTTTGATGATTGGAAATGATGCAGATTTAAATTTATTGTGCTCATCTTCGATCTTTTTGGCACATTCATCAAAGGCCTCTTTAGAAGAAGTCTTTACTTTAATAGTCACAATTTGATCATCGTCCTCATAGTCAAGCGATACACTTTCAACTCCTTCGATATCATACAGGTTATTCAAACATAAATACGTACTCCTGGATCTCAAAAATTCAACTAAGCATAATGCAACAGTTTCCGAACCAGATGCTAGCGATGGATCAAATTTTTTAACTAGCCCATCACTCCATGTAAAGTAATCAAGAAAAACTTTATTCGAAATGAACCACCTGATCTTTGATTTTACTGCATTTAATGTTTCCTCGCTCGGACACACAATATCAGCAATACCAGTGGTAAGATGGATCTGCAGAAATATGATTGGAACCTGCGGGTTTCTAATAAACAAGTCGAGAAGTCTTTTCCGAGCATCTTTTGAGAGGAAATTTTCTGGTATCCAGTCAAAGGATTCTCTTACACGAGAGTTCCAATTAATATAGGTGCTCATCTTCTTCTAACGAATGCTACATATTTTCTGGTCACGTCTGGCAAAATTTGCCTCCATCACTATCTCGCCATACAGAGTGAAATAAACCTGAAAAATAAAAGTGTGAGACTGGGCAAGATTTCACCAACATTTTATTTTATTCATTTATATTTTTTTCAAACTAACACTAATACCTACTAGAAAATATTCATACAATGATCCATACACAGTTCTTATGTGATCTGCTGCGGCTAATATCAGCATTTGACTATTTCTTTAGTGAAGTGTAATCTACCATGTATAATGTTATAAGACCATTATCAATTATTATTGATCACTTTTAGGTAATAAAGTGACAAAACCAATGCCTTGACCCTATGATTTGTACTGCTTGTAAGCAATTTACAAATATTAATCATTAACTTGCAATTTAATCAGATAATTTATTCATTGGTAGATTGGGGAGACCTAGAATGAACTTGTTATCGGTTTTAAAATGATTTAAGTACGTAGTAGAAATTTGCAAATGGACAACTTGCATGAATTGAACGAAATTAGAGATATAGCTGCATGCAACAGATGTTGGGAAAATCTTTTTCAAGGGTACAGTTTACCGCATTAAGGTATTTTTAAGAATCATTTTTGTCGGTAAGATCGTGTTTTTTAATAATAATAATAATCATTAACTTGAATATGTTCGATGAATCAGTTATCTGAGCTGTTATATTTATGACCTAGCAAACATATTTGTGAAATCTACTGCTACATTATGGGAGTAATAACATTTTCATCAAATTAAGCAACATAATATAATAACAACAGTGTAATTAGTATAATAAAAAATCTGAAAGCTAACATAACTGATTAAACCCACATAACTACATAACTACATAACAAGCTAAAATTTAAAACAAAAGCTCTGTATTTTAAAAACAGCCTTTAATCGTAAAAGCACAACTTAAATCAAGATCTACTCGATCTTTCTGAAAAAGATTTACTGAACTGAGTCCAGATTTCCCGAACTTGAAGGGGGGGGGGGGGGGGGGGGGGGGAATCATGGTTTTTGTCCATTTTTGTCCATACGATTTTGTCCAATCTCAGAAAATAGGGTACCGCATGAAAAAAAATGGACAAAAAACATGATCCCACTTGAATCACAACAAAAAATAATTATACCCGATACCTATTTTAAATATTTCAAACATCACAAAACTTGTATGGTCGTCACATTAAAGCATTAATCATTTTAATCAGCATTACTGCTGTTGTAGAGTCTAGTGGATTTGATCATGTTTGAGGCAGTTATGTATCTAAAATCTAGCTATCGTAAATTGATCAACAAAACGAGAACGGAATTCTAGGTCATTTTTAAATTATACAATACAGTTCATATTATAATACATTACTCAAACACAAATATTTACCCAGACATGTCTAGCAATAACTGTAACTAAAGAACTAAGCTATGTAAATAATTTAAATCTTAAATAAATATTCAGCAAGATCCCCTCTGATTCTAGCACTTATCAGAACTACAAAGTGTCTTGTTCAGCCACTCGTCAGAACCATCACAACAGTCACAATAACCGTCGTTCACTTGAGAACTTGGGATTTGCCCTCTAAAAGATTTAGATTTGGTCTCAGTTGAGCACATGAACACTCCCTGAAACATTACAATCGTCAATAAGAAGTTATATTAGTACTAGTGTAACCCGGCCTACGGCCGGGATTTCACTGCCGCAGTTAAAAAGGGTAGGAGTAATTACTCGCTGAGTCAAAACCCGCATTAGGTGACCCAATAGTTTCTTAAACAATAATCTCATAATCAGTTATTTCTTGTGGATAATTAAGTCATTATTAGCCATGAGGCACCACACTCCATGATCATAAGGTCTGAACACCGAGTATTACACCTCATCACTCCCGTCTTGAACCGCGCTTTCTATTTTTATTTAAATCGTTATAGAAATTAACCCTTGTTAACTCCGCACCACACCCGCATATTATATTTGAAAACACGCATAACATTGTCGTATGAACTCTCTCTCTCTCTCTCTCTCTCTCTCTCTCTCTCTCTGCAGTCCAAACAGACCCCAAACACTAACAGTCCCCCCTCCCCTAATAAGCTTAAGGTATAACATTACAGCGAATCTTCCGGGCTGATCCAATTATGACGCTACTTAAATGCAGCTATAACATATTACACAGTAATGAGAGAGAGAGAGAGCAAGCCCCGTAACTCTTGCCGTTCTGCTCAAGCAATTTTATGTAACATTTGTGGTACAAAACCATCAATTAAACCACTTACCACCGGCCGATTTAAAAAAAAATTTCCTATGGGCTTCATCAGAGTTTTGTCGGCACTATACCGAAAAAACCAGTCCCGTAACTATTACCGTTTTTTTTGTATAACTGTTTGGAAATTACACACAGACACACACACAGACACACACACAGACACACACACATTCTGGTGTTATTAAGTTGATATTAGTCAGTCTCCTCATATTACCAGAGAGGTCCAGGCAAGGCGAGCAGAAAGAAAAAATACAATTGGAAAAGGACAAAAAATTTCAAGTAAAGATGAGGGACCGGGTCAACAAAGCAACGCAAGAAACAAATCATGTTCTGAAACTCTGTAATCCGGAAATTAAGGCTACCTACCTGGAAATTAAGTAATTAAAAAATTAATTAAATTAATAATTCCTACCTGGAAATTAAGTAATCTAAAAAGTAATTAATTAAGACTATCTACCTTGTAACATGCACTTGTAGCCGGCTCATCTGAATGATCCACACAATCACAATAGTCATCATTAAAATACTGCAACGGTAGAACACGGTCTTTATCACATACAATGACACTGCCATTGATGACATCATAAGGTTTCAGCTGGCCTGTATGGAACTTCAAAAGTTTTGCTTGCACTTCAGTAAATTCAAGTTTCGGTTTTAGATCACCTGATTTCTTTTTATTTACTTCCTCTTCTTTTTCATTTTCTTCTGATTCAGGTACCTTCTTGGCAGGGATAATTTGTTTCTCTGTAGGATGGGAGTTGTCATGCTGGTGAGGAACTGCATTGGTAAGGGTCAGTAACTGGTCATTGTTTAGCGTAAAGAACACCACTACTTGACATACTATAAAAAGTGATATTCCTATCAATACCTTCATTTTTTTCCTCATTCTGGTCCATGATTCAGTAATGATGACAGCTATAACTCTACAAGCTTCTCGGCATCCACGATCTGGTATTCTTCATTGGCATTCTTTACATTTCATCAAAGCTTGCCTAAAAACATGGTAGTTACTGACTTACGAAGTGATAGATCAATTATTCAAATAAATTTACAATTTCAAGAAGAGGAATGGTACACGTTGCATTAAAATTGAGCTATCATGAATTTGCTGCCGATTTATCTAAATAAGTGCTCCAAAAATACCTGCCTTATGATATTTTCAGTTCAACCTCAATAAAACACATAATCTAAGAGAACATAAAATATCAATGTTGTTCTGCCTCGAATAACTTATAATAAATAAAATAAAAACTAAGACTCAGCCTTAACAGCATCATCTATTTTCAGAGCTTCAGTTTCTTCTGATTTAGCTTTATCATCTAAACTTTTAAGACCTTTTCTTTCTGGCACAGTCTTCTCAATAGCACTGGTCCAGCTGTTGCTGACACAAAAATTGGAAATAATTTCAAAAACATGACAAACAGTAAGCACTTTTCGGGTTGATATTGTAAAGAACTGGTCGATTGGTAGTCTAGCATGCTGGAAACCAGCAGCTTGGGCGCGCTCATACGCAAGTCCCTTGTGAGCATTATGATCAACAAATCCTCCGATTACATAGGTTTTACTATCATCAAACGTTGATAACAAATTTTCTGACTCAGCACAAAGGTACACCACATTTGAAGGCTCAAACAATTCAATTAAACTCTCACTTTTAAGATTGATATCCCAGTTTTTGTAGCCGTCAACACAGCCCATTCTTTCAAGAGTTTTCCCCTGCATGTTTGTGAGGTGTAACTGTAAAGGGTTGTCCATGTGCCTGTTCATTGCGTAAATTCTTTGGATTTGTTTGCTTAGTTTAACGATATCCTTTTCCGTCATTAAATCATCAAAACTGCAATCTACAGCAACACGTAATTTGTTGTTACTGTCACATAGTTTGTTACCCTTACGACGCTTGGGCGCAGATGCAGGGTTGTTGGCTTTCTTTCTTTTCAATTTTTCTCGTTCAATTTTTCTTCTGATAGGTTTGAAGAAATCGAATTTTAGAGTTTTGAGCAGCTTCTTTTTACCATTTTTGGTCATATCATCTGGAAATTCATACTGATCTTTGAATACATTAAATTCTTCTTGTACTTTCTTGTACATAGCATCAAGTTCCTCGGTTGTACAAATAGTGGGTGCAGTGTTGGGTCTATTCTTCTCAGTTACTTCACCACTTGTAACTTCTTCCAGCCCCTCCTCGTCAGATAGTGGCTCTTCTGTGCCTCTTTTAGTCATCCTGCAAAACAGTGCAATAATTAATCACTGAAGTATCCAGGTATACTGCTAACCGCTTATTGTTACTAATTGTGTACAACTTAGTATTTATTATGCTGCAATGTTCATTACAAATGCAATGATTTATCAAATGTTCAGAGGTAGATGAAATTCATTTCTCCTAATAAAATTCTAGTCATTTATTATCAAAATGCCTATGATACGTTTTTTAAAACTAAAATATTTAATAGCAAATCACAGAAATACCCTATGTAACACAAGTTACAACCCCTTTAAAAGTTCAAAAGTTTGATTTAAAAATACAAATAAAATAAATAAAAGTTTTCTAAAATAATTCACAGTGCTCCATGATAAAGCAAATCACTATTCCAAACATAAAAAAGAATAAATAACTCTTTGAGATTTTGAATACTTTTATAACATGGTAGGATCACAAATTATCTTTAAAAGATAATACTGGGTAAAGCTTAAAAGCTACGAAGTCTGTTGAACAGCAGTTCTGGCAGTTGATTTTAAATAATCGTCATGGTCATAGATAACTTTTATCATCAGTGAGCAACTTGGGCATTTAGCAATTTCTTCTCCATTTTCTAATTCTTCTTTGCTGATAAAGAGGATGTTAGATTTCAAAAAGGTAGCAAAATGAAGGATACAATCCGGAAAAAAAGACCAGAGGCAATACATAGGTGTGGTGGGTGCAGAATTGCACTATTGACCTAACACCGCACTTTTTTGCACCATCGGCTGCTATCCGTTTTTATCAGATTTGCTTAAGTTTGGTACTGCTGTGTAATGTAGCACTGACGTTCGATAATATCGATATTTGATTAAAAAAGAGGGTGAATCTCATCGAGCTGCAAGCTGGAACGTAATCAATGGTGAGATTGACATTGAGGCACTTTAATCACGATTAGATATTATACTATAGTTATACTTATAGTTATAAATTAGATTATATTATTATTATAGTTTATACACACAATGTGTTAGCATCTAATGTTGTAAAGTTACAATATTGAATAATCTGCCTCGAATAATGTCACGATAAGCTCAACTAGCCCCAGTCATCCTGTCAATCTAATCGCAAGAACTTCTATGAGGGTAATTCTATAAGACGTATAGATTTACACATTTAGCATTGTCAGAAGATTCATTGAAAGACATTAACTTTGGGGGGGGGGTGTCATGTCCGTCTATGTCCGCCTATGTCCTGTCCTTTTTGGATTCTATGAGACAACGGACGTGTTTTTTGGGACATTGGCGGACACGGACGGACATTGGCGGACTCGGACGGACATTGGCGGACTCGGACGGACATTGGCGGACTCGGACGGACATTGGCGGACTCGGACGGACATTGGCGGACCCGGACGGACATTGGCGGACTTGGATGGACATTGGTGGACATTAGCGGACATTGGTGGACATTAGCGGACAAACATTTTGAGGACTGAAGAGTACTGAAGAGTACTGAAGAGTACTGAGGAGGATGGCTGAGAAGGATGGCTGAGGAGGATGGCTGAGGAGGATGACTGAGGAGGATAACTGAGGAGGATGACTGAGAGGGAGGAGAAGGATCAGGAAGACCCAGGAGGAGGAGGACCCAGAAGGAGGACCTAGGAGGAGGAGGAGGAGAACTGAGGAGGATGACTCAGGAGGAGGAGGACTCAGGAGGAGGACTGAGGAGGACTGAGAAGGAGGAGGACTGAGGAGGATGGCTGAGGAGGATGGCTGAGGAGGATGACTGAGAGGGAGGAGGAGGAGGAAGAGGAGGAAGAGGAGGAAGAGGGCTGAGGAGGAGGAGGAGAAGGACTGAGGAGGAGAAGGAGGACCCAGGAGGAGGAGGACCCAGGAGGAGGACCCAGGAGGAGGACCCAGGAGGAGGACCCAGGAAAAGGCCCCAGGAGGAGGAGGACTGGGGAGGAGGAGAACTGTTGAGGACTGATGAGGAGGACTGAGGACGAGGAGGAGGAGTAGGAGGAGGACTGAGGAGGGGAGGAGGAAGAGGACTGGGGAGGATCAGGAAGACCCAGGAGGACCCAGGAGGAGGAGGAGGACCCAGGAGGAGGAGGAGGAGGACTGAGGAGGACTGAGGAGGAGGACTGACGATGACTGAGAAGGAGGAGGACTGAGGAGTACTGAGGAGGATGGCTGAGGAGGATGGCTGGGGAGGATGGCTGAGGAGGATGACTGAGGAGGATGAATGAGATGGAGGAGGAGGAGGACTCAGGAGGAGGACTCAGAAGGAAGAGGAGGAGGACTCAGGAGGAGGACTCAGGAGGAGGACTTAGGAGAAATGAGAAGGAGGACTGAGGAGAACTGAGGAGGAGGAGGAGGAGGACTGAATAGGAGGAGGAGAAGGAGGGGGACTGGGAGAGGACTGGGGAGGAGGAGGACTGATGAGAAGGATGAGGAGGAGGACCCAGGAGGAGGAGGACTGAGGACCGAGGAGGAAGAGGAGGAGGATGAAGAGGAGGAGGAGGACCCAGGAGGAGGAGGACTGAGGAGGAGGACTGAGGAGGACTGAGGAGGATGGCTGAGGAAGATGACTGAGAGGGAAGAGGAGGAGGAGGAGGAGGAGGACTCAGGAGGAGGAGGAGGACTGAGGAGGACTGAGAAGGAGGAGGAGGAGGAGGAGGACTGAATAGGAGGAGGAGGGGGACTGGGGGAGGACTGAGGAGGAGGATGGAGGACTGAGGAGAAGGATGAGGAGGAGGACTGAGGACTGAGGAGGAAGAGGAGGAGGATGAAGAGGAGGAGGAGGACCCAGGAGGAGGACTGAGGAGGAGGATGGAGGACTGAGGAGAAGGATGAGGAGGAGGACTGAGGACTGAGGAGGAAGAGGAGGAGGATGAAGAGGAGGAGGAGGACCCAGGAGGAGGACCCAGAAGGAGGACTCAGGAGGAGGAGGAGGACTGGGGAGGAGAAGGACTGTTGAGGACTGATGAGGAGAACTGAGGACGAGGAGGAGGAGTAGGGAGGAGGACTGAGGAGGGGAGGAGGAAGAGGACTGAGGAAGATCAGGAAGACCCAGGGGGAGGAGGAGGAAGAGTAGGAGGAGGAAGCATCTAAATGTTATTTCCATTTTTGTCCGTTTTTGTCCATTTTTGTCCGCTCTATTTTTTTGATCCCCCTATAACAGCAAAAATTGAACATTTTATTTGGCAATTTAGGTGTCCATTAGTAGGAGGAGGACTGAGGAGGGGAGGAGGAAGAGGACTGGAGAGGATCAGGAAGACCCAGGAGGACCCAGGAGGAGGAGGAGGAGGAGGACCCAGGAGGAGGAGGAGGACTGAGGAGGACTGAGGAGGAGGACTGACGATGACTGAGAAGGAGGAGGACTGAGGAGTACTGAGGAGGATGGCTGAGGAGGATGGCTGGGGAGGATGGCTGAGGAGGATGACTGAGGAGGATGAATGAGAGGGAGGAGGAGGAGGACTCAGGAGGAGGACTCAGAAGGAAGAGGAGGAGGACTCAGGAGGAGGACTCAGGAGGAGGACTCAGGAGGAGGACTTAGGAGAAATGAGAAGGAGGACTGAGGAGAACTGAGGAGGAGGAGGAGGAGGAGGACTGAATAGGAGGAGGAGAAGGAGGGGGACTGGGAGAGGACTGGGGAGGAGGAGGACTGATGAGAAGGATGAGGAGGAGGACCCAGGAGGAGGAGGACTGAGGACCGAGGAGGAAGAGGAGGAGGATGAAGAGGAGGAGGAGGACCCAGGAGGAGGAGGACTGAGGAGGAGGACTGAGGAGGACTGAGGAGGATGGCTGAGGAAGATGACTGAGAGGGAAGAGGAGGAGGAGGAGGAGGAGGAGGACTCAGGAGGAGGAGGAGGAGGACTGAGGAGGACTGAGAAGGAGGAGGAGGAGGAGGAGGACTGAATAGGAGGAGGAGGGGGACTGGGGGAGGACTGAGGAGGAGGATGGAGGACTGAGGAGAAGGATGAGGAGGAGGACTGAGGAGGACTGAGGACTGAGGAGGAAGAGGAGGAGGATGAAGAGGAGGAGGAGGACCCAGGAGGAGGACCCAGAAGGAGGACTCAGGAGGAGGAGGAGGACTGGGGAGGAGAAGGACTGTTGAGGATTGATGAGGAGAACTGAGGACGAGGAGGAGGAGTAGGAGGAGGACTGAGGAGGGGAGGAGGAAGAGGACTGAGGAAGATCAGGAAGACCCAGGGGGAGGAGGAGGAAGAGTAGGAGGAGGAAGCATCTAAATGTTATTTCCATTTTTGTCCGTTTTTGTCCATTTTTGCCCGCTCTATTTTTTGTCCGTTTTGAAAATATAGGGTACCGAACGGACAAAAAACATGATCCCCTATAACAGCAAAAATTGAACATTTTATTTAGCAATTTAGGTGTCCATTAATGTCCGCTTATGTCCGCCTATGTCCGTCTATGTCCGCCTATGTCCGCCTATGTCCGCCTATGTCCGTCTATGTCCGCCTATGTCCGCCTATGTCCGCCTATGTCCTGTCCTTTTTGGATTCTATGAGACAAGCGTACATAGACGGACGTGACACCCCCCCCCCCCCCCCCCCCCAACTTTACAAGTTATTTGATGTGTTAAACCCAACAATCGTATAAGGCATCGTTATATAATACGACGACTACGTGCTGTTGAATAATAAATGTAAAAGCTGCAAATTTGTCGAATTGTTCGGCTTAATTGCGGTGTTTTTGTCTCCAAATTATCCGCATATAGCAGGTGCAGAATCGCACTATTTGCAAAATATTACCGCACCTACATGTTGCCTCTGTTCAAGACAGTTAATTAATATCGATGAGAAGTTTATTGGAAACCACGTGACACCACAAAATACTTTGTACCTGATGGAAAAAAGATCACCACAGGGGCAGGGATAATAATAAACCTCTTCGTCCTCGTCATAGTCCATATCTTCTATTTCAATCTCATCGTGAAAAGTCGTCATGATTCTACATTTAACATAAAACCTGAGTTTTATTGTGTTCACATCAAGCATAATATTATGTAATAACCACTCAGCAATCTCATAATTTAGTCAAAGTAGTTTGGAAAAACTTAATAACAAGTGACGGATATTCTTTGCCTCATTTCATTTTATGTGCCAATCAATCAGTTAATCAATCAAGCACATGTTTCAATCCATCATTATGTTACAAACGTACAATTACTGATAATACTATTAAATTCGTAAACTTCCACAGATGGCAAACATCTACACAAAATATAAATATAAATTTAGTTATATAAATTTAGTTTAGTAAATTGAGGGTCACTGAATATATCATTTATTTGAGGGTACATTACAATCGTATAAATAGTAATTAATAGTTAAACGTCTTGTAGACCTGTATTACCGGCCGGTTGAAAAGATATTACAATTTGAAAACACTAGGATGCCAATGCATCACCTATCCATATCCTTGTTCTTCCCTACGTAACGGATGCCATCAACGCCCTCATCTTTCAGCATTTTAAGCTGTTTGTCTCCCCTCCGCAACATGTGTTCGATGTGCAGAAAGTCTGATCTAGGAATGTTATCACTGTACTTCCTGAACTCTGTTTTTATGTGATCTTTAAGAGACGGGTTACTCCAGGATATCTTCAAAAAGGAGCGGTACTGAGCAAGAATCTTTTTCTGAAGAGAACTTCGAGCCATGGCTCTATTATTTTGTTTCCTCTTCTTTTAATTGAAATATCTGAATATTTCAGCTGCTTATAAATAAAAGTGTCCTTCTGACTGGCATGAAAATTTGAATATAAAAGAGCGACTAAGAGTCAGGACTCAGGTTGGCAGAGCTTCTATCTGCACGCAAATTCACTAATTTCTTCCTTTGTCTTTTGCTATCATTATTTTGTTGCTGAAGATGGTTGTCATTGATAAATAATATTTCTAATGATATTTTATTTTGATTTGGGTATGTAGTTAAAATAAGTTACAAATAAATTGTAGATTCGATAACAGTGAGAATTAATCATCGTTAGTGACTACTGACTATAATTAGTGTCAATAGTAATTATATCAAGGATTTAACTTCAACTATAATGAGAATTCATGATTTTAAAAATAAAGCAATCAATAAATAATCTGTAATGTTGCGCCATACACTGATGAATAATGATAAAGGACTGAAGAGATGACCATTTATTTTAAATAAACCAATAAGTATTTTTTAAATTGGTAACAATCGAGACTGCTTGAGGCTAGGGCTCTTGAAGAGCAAACCTCAATGCGAAACTTTAAATCTCAGAACCCCTCAAATTTTAAAGCTCATTCTTAACATGAATAATTTGACTCCCATTCAGGAAGCGACCAACTGTATAATTATACTCATAATACAGTGTATGAATATCCCCAATAATGTAGCTAAAACAGACAAAATTACTTCGTCCTTGAAAACGAATCTTAAAGAGGAGAAAATAAAACATATTTTTGGTATCATTTGGTACCAAATTATATAATCAGCAAAAGGTCTGAAGCTTCATAAGTTAAAATCACCAAAAGAGCTATAACAAATTAGAACTTACATGTATTATATCTACGATATAATACGTATAACCAATTCTTAATGGAGCACAGCAATTTTTGGACAAAATTTAAAGTTTTTATGATATCATATTATTATAAAACTAGATGCAGCATCTACAACGACGCAGAGGACAACAAATTATATCAATATCGTCTACTATTAGTCTGTTGTTGAAAATGGTGTCCATCAGCGAATGTCGCCATCTGAAGGAATAACAGATCAGTTGTGATTTTATTTACCAAATTAACTAAACGAAAAAATGTGGGTTTCCAAAGCCGTGGGCCCTTGGAGACTATTCCAAGGGATTTAAATAATAAATAGAGCCGAGTGATGGCCTTCAATCACTAATGACTGACTGTGGGGTAAAGAGCAACAAAAATAGAATACAAATACTAAATAATTGAAACTTTAAACACATGTATTGATTGAAAACTTTTAAATTAAATCTAGCATGACCATAAAAGAACAGTGGTAGTTGCTTCACCTTATTCAGTTGAGCATGCTGGTTTTTACTGACTATCTCTTCCATTATCTCCCCCGTACCCCGGACCAGCCTGATATTGAAATTGTTTAATCCTAAGTGTTTTAGGGGTCCTTAACATAATATTACGTAATCACTTTTTGGATAACTTTTAACCCCCTCCCCGGCCCCCTCCGTAATCAGTTTTACACATAGCTATTCAAATGTCAAAATCACACCAGCGTTATCATTTGGTACCCCCCTCCCCCCTCGGCTGATTACGTAATATGTGAAGTGTGAACGACCCCTTACTGGCAGCAGGATCCGTGTCACAAAAATCAAATGTGAATTAGAGAGTTGTACTTATTTGGCAATTTGAACGATGTGACTTTCAGAGATTTTGGCAAGATTAGCAATTTATAGGTGCGTTCTGCACCAACATTCCAACAATGATTCAAATTATGAAATTAATTTCTCAAAAATCTTATGAACCTTTCCATCATCAGGTTCAAGTTTTTACTTTTTGGAAAATTTTGGAGGGTTTTGCACAGCATACATATGCATATGGTCAGCAAAAGATTGTCCTCTAGTCAAACGCTTGTATTTATATTATAAAATATACAGGTTAAACAGCTATGAAATGAAAATGATTTCAATTTATATAATTATTATTTAATACATGACGTATCCAATAATTTTACCATGGCGAGGTGGCCTTGGTGCATTATGAGCATGTTGGTTTGGGTCTTTCCCAGGCTGCTCATATTGTGGTCTTCTGCCTGGGGTGCGAAGTAAAGCAGCAGGAGGTGGTCTTTGTGGAGGTCCTGCAGTAGCCGGAGTTTGCAACAGACCTGATGGAGTTCTGGGAGGTGTTCCTGGAGACGCTCTCATATCTCCAAACGGTGGTCTCGTATCTTCTGGATGTCTTCTGGGTTCTCTTGCTGGTGGTTCTCGAGGTGCATACTCTCTTGGTGCATACTCTCTCGGTGGTAGCTCTCTTTCTAGTGGTTCCCGGGGTGCATAGTCTCTTGGTGCATACTCTGTTGGTGGTAGCTCTCTTGCTGGTGGTTCCCTTGGTGCATACTCTCTTTGTGCATACTCAGTTGGTGGTAGCTCTCTTTCTAGTGGTTCCCTTGGTGCATACTCTCTTTGTGCATACTCTGTTGGTGGTAGCTCTCTTGCTGGTGGTTCCCGGGGAGCATACTCTCTTGGTGCATACTCTCTAGGTTGCAGTCCTCTTGCTGGTGGTTCTCTTGGTGCATACTCTCTAGGTTGCAGTCCTCTAGGTTGGTGCTCTATTGGTGGTTGCTCTCTGGAAGGTTGCTCTCTTGGACCTAACCGTTGCATAGGTGGTCTCCTACCATGGCCATAGTCACTCTCTTCGTACGGAGGTACAGCCATAGCGGGTGGTCTCTCGTCATTTCTCCCCACAAAATCAGTCTCAGAAGAATGTCGAGCACCCCTGCGATGTTTTGACTGAGGACTCTCATTGGCCCTGGCACCATAGCCACTTGGTGGAATGTCAGTAGGCATTGAGCTGCCGTCCAGATCATCATACTGTATCTCTTCCGGCTCTACGGACCGGGCAGCAGAATTTCCCCTTTTGATCGCTGCTTCTAGCTGGTCTCCAAGATTTTGTTGATTGCTCTGTGCTTTGACAACCTTTCGGCCGAACTCTTGTGTCACTTTCACTGAAAAATACATTACATCATTTGAAGATATGATTGTAATGTAAAAGCAAACAATCTGATAACAACTTAACCTTTTAAAGCAAGACATTGTCTTAAATCGGGCAGATATCTATTTTATTATTAAGCTCCTAAATGTATCTCAAGAGATACGGTCAGTAAAAAGGCTCTAATGGCCTGACTATAAAACATTCCTTTCTCACCTGGCTCAGGAAGTGTATCGATGTGCTTTCTGAAAACTTCCATTCGTAGAGCTCTTTCGTTCTTCCTCACATCATTTTCAACTATCACTTTCGTCATAAGTTCTTTCTTGTTTTTCAAGGAGACTAATTTGTCGGTGTTATCTTTGATTTGGGACCTTAAGTCCTGGATACGGCGTGTATCTGATTTGTACCTTTCTAGGTACATTTTACCCTGAACAATAAACTTTCATTAAACTTTGAAATACTGAGCTGAAAAGTATGCTAAAAATTAACATGCTATTACTGGCTCCAGAACTGATTAAGAGTCACTCTCTTTTAAATCATACTGAGACATTCAAAGAAGAACTTCAATTTGCACAAAATGTTTTAAATTTACTCAGAATATTTATTCAAAAGTTTATAGTACTCATTATTCAATAGATATCATAAAATGTTCTAAAGAATTTAGGTACGACTGTCATGACTCATGACTGACATGAATAGATATGATTCTGTAAATTTGTGTTCTGTCGGAATATCAACACAACCTACCTTCTTACACAAGCTCGAGCTTTCGTTGTTGACATTAGAATTGATAGTATGATACAGCTCACAGAAAATGCACTTTCCACTAAAGGTGACACCACGTGCCGTGGTACTTTCAGTGTTCTTAGATTGTACTGGTTCTGTAATCTCAGGCAAGTCTAAGAATAGGAATGGTTTTTGAACTCAGTGGAGTTCATAAAAGTTGAATTCAGTATCTATAGTTTATAAATTTAACAAATTGAAAAATTGTATAGTTTGTTGTGTCGAAACTTTAATAAGATTTGTTTGTGGTATCCATTTTCTACTGGACCACAACATTTTATAAGAAACAATTCAAATCAAAAGGTCCAGCGAATTTACCTTCTTCAGCTGTAATTACAGCCAATTCTTCTTCTTCATAGAAATCTTTTATCAGATTTTTGGCTGCATTCGATCTTACAACGACCTCCCTTCCTTCACTAGATTTTCGCCTCCTTGATTGGCTATTTTTATCAGGTTCTGACTCAGAACTACTCTTGTAACCACGCTCATGGTGTGATGGCTTGTTTTTATGCCCTTTCTTGAGGATTTTATCTAAATCTTGCAAATTTTGGGAAGTATCAGACTTTTGAGTCTGTTGATATTGTTGTTGTTGTTGTTGTTGTTTTTGTTGTTGTTGTTGCTGTTGTTGTTGTTGTTGTTGTTGTTGTTGTTGTTGTTGTTGTTGTTGTTGTTGTTGTTGTTGCTGTTGTTGTTGTTGTTGTTGTTGATGATGATGTTGATCTTGTTGTTGTTGTTGGGTAGCACGATTGATAGACCCGATTGATGATATGTTTTGTTGGCCTGGAGCCAATCTGGGTTGGTTTGATCTCGACATTTCTTGGTATGTCTGACTTGACCTTGGTACAATATTTTGGTTTGGTTGTTGGAGATTTGTATTAAGTTTCGGTTTTTTCTTTTCTTTTCCTTTGAAGACGTCTAAATACAGATCGTCGTCGCTTGGATAATTTTTAACAGGACTATTTCCTCTCACATTTTTTATTTCCATCACTTCATTATCAAGTGATGATACAGGGTTGAACGGTGGATTTGCTGGCATAATCAAAGGTGCAGCGCTCATAGGCATCTGGAGCATTGGACCTGGGGGCATAGCTGGCATTTGTCCAAGTGGCATTTGAGGCATTGGTGGCATTCCAGCAGGCATCTGTCCTTGCATCGACTGTGGCATGAGTCCTGGGGGAGGAGCCGGTGACATGATATCAGGAACATCCCTGGGACGGATCACATACGTTAGGAGAAGCAGATGGTTTTTGTTATTCGATAAGGTCAATACAATTTCACTTAAAACATTTAAAGAGCTTGAATATATCGTTTAAATCAAAGCAAATATATTATAAAGATATGATTTTAATCGAGTAGCAATTTATATGTGAGCTTACTAGAAGTGCAGTGAAATTGTCTAAGGAAACGGAATGGAAAATCGTATACTTTATTCTATATTATGATAATAATATTTTAACAGTAAGTATAATACATTTAATTACATTTTCACTAGTCTAACGTAAGATACCCAGCTTGATTTCAAAATACAAATCCAGGTAATGATTAATAACTAGAGGACAATCTTTTTGCTGTGTCTGGGGTTGAAGCCAATGGTGAACTTTATTATCCTAATCGTAACTCTGTCACAATTAGCATAAATTAGCATACCATCAAGTTAGATGCAAGTTAGCAAGCTTAGTGGTAAGATGGTAATATTTAATTTGTAATTGTACAAATTACACTCTTACACTCACACAAATTGGAACCAAATTTGATTAAATTTGTTCAATTCAATTTATAGAAGTATACGACTTAATTAAGAGGAATATAAACACTCCAACTTCTTTTTGGAATCCTTTTTAAAATGTTTTAAATCTATTGATCTAATTTATTTAATTGGTGGAAAATGTTATAATTTTCAGAGGAAAATTTTCTATTATTATATTATATATTTTATTGTGAGACTGTACTGTACTAAACAGTATCATATAACTTATACTGCCAGATTCTTGAAGAACATGTACAATTGACGGAATTAACTTTTAAAAAGCCTAAAATAAAAATGGTGTGGATGTTTAAATAGTGAGCTCTGTGTTAATGGTGGATGAGATAACGATGAGATAACGATTTCGTAATTCAAGTTAATTAAAGTAGTTCTTAACAAATCTTACTATAGCAAGTGAGGAGTTGACAATCTCTACTAACAAGGGAGTATATTATTATTGGAACCTGTATTGTCCTGTTTGAGGGTCGTACTGTCTTCGCATTTGTGACTGTTGGGCGGAGTATTGTTGTGGAGTCATGGGGGCTAGCGCACCCTGAAACGAGACACGAGCTAAACCACATACTTAGCTGTTGAATATACGAATATATTGTAAATATGAATTCGTGGAAATGAAAAAAAACAGTTCTCCACCTTTACCCGTGTTAGGGGAATCAATGCTCATATTATCAACAAACACAATCAATAGTTCATAATAACCAGTAATTATTATACTTGAGGTTGTGCCGGTGGTTGGGGTCGTGGCGGCACTTTGTTTTCCACTATCTGACCGTGGGAATTTCTTTGGACGCTGCAAGTTGATCAGTGTGACTAATCAAATAACTTGGTGTAAATTGAGCAAATAGATTTAAATGTAGTGTCGTACTGCAGAACGTGATATTCATTTATGATACATTTTCAAGGAGGACGAAATTTTATTATCTTCTCACCTTTTAGCTTGTTTGTCGTCCTTTTTAGCTAATTTTTTGTCTTTTAGTTTCTTTTTCAATGCTTTAACTTTTTTTGTTAATTTCTTGTTCCTAGCTTTTAACTTCTTGACTTTCTTCGCTAACTTATGAGAATCTTCGTCACTGTCGCTGAAAAAAAAATATCATGTAAAAATATCAAAATCGAAAAGAGTTCAATAATTTGAAAGTACAATCATAAACATGATAAAAGATGGGCCAAAAGATCAGATAAACACGCAAAGGGCAAATTGGCCACGATAATATAATAATATTGAGAAACAAGATTGAAATAAATCAATTTGAGATCTGGGATATTAATCAAATACCTCTCGCTCGATATGTCAGTATCTAAGCTTGATTCGCTGGACGATTCTGAACTTTCTGAACTTATAGTGCCCATGCCGGTCGATTTCTTTTTTTTCGATCTTGACGAGGCTTTTGAAGAGGCCCTTGACTCACTCTTCTGTTTTAGAGCTGGAGGAGGAGGTGGATTGGAGCCGTCCCTCATCCTCATCAGTGGGTTATAAGCTGCTTGCTGAATTTAAATATAGACGGTTACATTTCGATACTATACACGTACTACCATAGTGAACATTCCATTATCAATAATACCACAAATACAACACAATCTAGAATATTAGAATTTAAGAATCAGACCACTGCCACAGGAAGTATTTTAGGTTTACAAATTATTTCTGAATGTTATTAGTTAAGGGGGCCGGGGGGGGTCTTCATCAAAATTCTCTCGAAATCGACTTTATAGTTGTTTCTAATAGAGGGGAGTGATATCTATCAGCTGCTTTTGGTCCCATGGAAAAATATTGTTCCTAGCCGAAATTATCGCCGGTCTAAGGTCAGCGCTTATGTGTAATTGTATTGCGCGAGCGATTTTCAATCGCAAATTCTGAAAATCGAGTCTAAAAATCTATCTTCTCCCACATTTTTTGAGCAATCACCCTGAAACTTTCAGGATATGTTCTAGGGACCATTTAGAAGAGATCGCTCAGACAAAATTTTGAGATAGGCCTTTAAAAATTTTTATTCGATTTTGAAAATCTTGGACCTCAAAAAATCGTAAAAAAACGAGGTCCAAGATTTTCAAAATTGAATACAAAATTTTTAAAGGCATATCTCAAAATTTTGTCAGCGCGATCTCTTCTAAATGGTCCCTAGAACATATCCTGAAAGTTTCAGGGTGATTGCTCAAAAAATGTGGAAGAAGATAGATTTTTAGACTCGATTTTCAGAATTTGCGATTGAAAATCGCTCGCTCAATACAATTACACATAAGCGCTGACCTTAGACCGGCGATAATTTCGGCTAGGAGCAATATTTTTCCATGGGACCAAAAGCAGCTGATAGATATCACTCCCCTCTATTAAAAACAAGAATTTTGATGAAGACCCCCCCCCCCCCCCCCCCCCCCGTCGACGGTCCAATATATGGAACAGATATTTTACGAGTATCACCCGTTAAGTAAAATCATGTTCAAACTTAGTCTGTATTAAGACTGTAAGACTTTCATGTTAGCACATACATGTATTTTAATGCAAATTTAAACTGTATTGCTTGACAATTGTGCCTAAGCTTGGTATACGTGACTACTGTCTAAGTGTGGCCTGCCTGAAGTCTAGGATGAAGCAATCACTGCTCGTCAACCAGCATAACCATGCTGATCTTGATTGGACAAACAAAGATTTCGAATGCTCTAATCTAAATTTTGACATTAAGTCTACCCTAGGGTCCACACATCCAAAATGATTATCTTGAAATTGAAAATTAGCTGCCAGGTGTGCATTTTCCTTTGTCTTACTAACGTGTGTGAGCGCAGTGTAGTGAGAAAGTGTTTTTAACAGATTTATTATTAGACTTAGGATTATGATTTTTAATATATTACATTGATATAAGATTTATTTTTGATAGGTACTTAATAAAGTTGATGAATTTCCCTCCCTATTAAAATTTTAAACCCATTTAGTGAAAATTGATAAACGAAGATCTAGATATTGATACATATTATAACCAACATTGCTTATATTCTGCCTTGTAAACAAAGAGCAAATCTTCTTAATGCCTTCTTCCTGTCCTAAAACTAAAACTTCATCCTATTAAAGTAAAGGCCTGTTGTTACCACAAGCTATTATACCGTCCCTCTCAAAAACATGCCTCAGCCTCCATCAAAAACAATTTTAGTTTTCAGTCCTTCTAGTTTCCAAAAATCTACCGAGCTAGTGTTCTGGTGTGCACAAAAGCCCCTAAGCCCGTGCATTCCTTGCCCCCGCTAGCTGCCAGTCCTTGACAAACTTCCAATAGCAAAGATCAACTAGTCATTTACAAATTGAGCACTATACAATTTTAATTGTTTTAAATATTTGACTTTGTAAAATGAGCTAAAACATTGATTTATTAGTTTCATTGATTTATTAGTTTCATTGATTCAATTCGTCATTGGTGTGGTGATAATTTGTCCCAAGATGCCAGAATTTATTTATTTATTTTACTTGATATTACTTTTTAGAAACAAAATAAAGCAGTGAAGGCACAGTCATTGAAATAAGCTAAAAGATAATGCGACGGATTCTATTACGACGACCGAAATTTTGGCGGTCCGAAAATATGGCGAAATTTTCGGAAAACCGCCACATTTCGTACGTTATAAATATGTCTTGTAAGGTATGTTAATATCACGAATAATTATAATATATTGTGGTGTGTCCGCTTATCCTTGATAAAAAGACATGAAGTATGAAAATATTATGTCAATAATATGAAATGATATAATACTGTTATACTGTACCATCTGTGGTGGGGACTGTACAGGAGGTGGAGGAGGGGCTGGAACAGGAGCAGGGGCTGGGGCAGATGTAGATTCAGCAGTTGTCACCGGAGTACCATCTATGTCAATGTTCATCACTGAGTAAGAAAACGTTTGAGAAAGCTGATGAAACCGCACCAGAAGGAAACTATTTTTTTAATGAAAGGGACAGACTGTATTTTTCTATTTTACAAACGACTCAGATTTCAAAATGATGTTACTAAGTGACTAACTTTGTTTCCGAAGTTTCTCTTTAAGAAAGGTGCTGTCAACTTGACCACTTTTTAACAAGTCCATAACGTCAATCTGTCCGTTCATGACCTGTTCTAACAATGCCATTTCTACCAACTTCGCTTGCTCACTCTTTTGGTTCTCTGATTAAAGATGTGCATTATCAATCTGTAAATTCGTATTAAAACTAAGAACTGTGTTTTGACAATCTGTTTAGACATCTTGACAAACAGACATTGAAAGATTCAAACATGGAATATGCTGACATGGTTAACAAGATTGAAGTAGGAGTGACGAGATTATCATAACTTTGTAGTCAGATATTATCTTGACCACACTTTGATAATATCTGACTATGTAATATGTTTAGTAAAATATCCAATATTACCAATCTCAGCCTTTCTCGTCTTCTCGAGAACATCTTCTTCAGACGATGAGGAGTTGTCCATATCATTTGATTTCTATGGGAGACACACGGTAATTAATAGAATTATAATTAGAATTCGTAACAATAATACTATCAAAATACATTATATTTTCTCTAACATTTGAATTAAATAACAATTCAATAGGCAAGTTTGAAAGGTGCTGTCAGATAAAATAAGTTAATAAATACGTGCACTAGTGGTAACATTTACTTGATTAAATTATTAAATGTAAGTTTTTGGGATTAACCTTTACAGATCTTGTGGGTTGGTCGTGTTTTCTTAAGTCACCAGTTGCCTGAAATAATGCTAATTTGATATGCTCCACAAGACACAAACAACATTTGAAATAACATTTAAAAACTAGTGGGCAAAGTTTTTGTTCTCTCTCTATAAATTTTCGTACAGGTATAGATGCTGAGATCTTTTTGGGGGGTTTCTTGAAGTCGGGGTTTCGTTTCTTGAATGCCATCTTGAATCCAGCCTCATTTTTCTGCATTGCTTTAGAATATTGTAAACGTTAATATTACCTAACATTTTGTAGTTCCAGATGAATTATTGAGAAATAATTGATTAAAAACATTTAAAAGTAGTGTTCAAAATCAGAAAATTGCTGCCAGCAAATTTTGGCAAGGTGATGCAAGGTGTAATAGCAGTTAATAAAACAATGAAATATATAAAAAAATATTACGCAATATTATCTTATTACATAGCATAAATAATTTCACAAATACATACACTTTTTAGAAATAGCAATCTATAAATATTATTGCACAAATACATACACATTTTATAACTAGCAATTTCTAATAAAAACAGCTTCTCTTAACTCGATTGTAATAACTTAATAAATAACTTTTCATGCTTTAATACTTGAATACTAAATACTAAAATCTATTAAATATTTTGGAAAGAATAAAAAACATACATTTCTTAAGGAGCAATTGTCAAGTCGGGATCTTTCACAAAACATAACCTGGCTCCAAATAAATAAACAGTAAATTCGAATCGAATAATGATTGCATGAGAATCATGCAACACCTAAAAGGTATTATATAATACACAGTTAAAGGATGTTAAATCCTAAAAGATTTCTTTAAAATTTCCAGCATTTAAGGGAACTACAGATATTTAAGGATACAACAAATCCTGTCAAAAATAAATATTTCTAATCTAAAAAGATGGCATGAAATTTAATCTGCAGTGCATTATGACAAAGTAAGTAAGTATGAACTTATTGATCAGTAGGAACTTATTGGTCATCCATCTCAACTTGAAGGTCAGTGTAGGGCAAGTTGGAGAGCTCATCAAATGTGATGTTAGCCGTCTGTTGAGTATGTGTTGGGTGCCTCATGTCTCCGTCAGGACTCCTCAATTTTCCAAACAACCTGGATAGTGATATTTTAATGAGTATTGTCTCTAAATTCAATGATTATTGCATGGGTCAAACTTCTGTTATTATATGCATTATAAAGATTATACAGAACAGGAAAGTTACAAGTTGTCATAGATCATCACAAAACACTGATGCACATTCCCTTTCAAGAACCAACAGTAAGCTTACCTGAGAGAATCAAAGACAATGTAAGCAGCAGAGGTAACCCCAACAACAATCCCTACAAACACGTCAACAAGATGGTTGAATCCCTCTGTGTATCTAGTTAGACTACTGAGGATAGCTACAGCCATCAGGAGAAACAAACACAAAACTCTTGTCATGGGTACCTGGTTATTTTAGTTTAATTTGACACAAACAGACTTATTTACACGGTTAACTACATACATTGTACAAGTTCTTTCATTGAACTCCCATATTGACATTTAAATAACGAGGACAATATTTATAGTATATTACATACTACATTCATAGTATAGCAAACAATCTCAGGATTACTTTTTAACAAAACTACAAATAATAAAATATAAATCTTAGATTACCTTACCTTTCTGAGTTGAGGTATGCAGTATACAATAGCTATGTTGAAGAAGAATCCAAAAGAGAGGTGGGACGCATACTCAGCGGGGAATGATAAGGATGCCTTTACGATATCTTCTTCTTCTCCTAGATTCAATAAGTTCTTTTTAGACTTCATGGTTATTTTCACAATTATGGAATTATTAACTTGCGATTATGACGTGTGTAAAATATAAATTTAACAGAATACACAACAACAACAATGAACAACAGCAAAATGCACTTTAAAAACTCGGCCATTACCGACCACATTGAACATACCAGAACAGACGCGTCTAGTGAAAACAAGGGCTCCACTTGTGTAGTTCGGCTTGCAGACAGACAGGAAGTTTGGGGAGAGTTTTCCAACCATGTGGGCCACCCCTTTGTTCAGTATAGCCATCAGGCAAGCACCAAAGAAGAAGTAACCAGTGTAAAATAATCCAGCCATTATGGCCGGAGGGATTTGTAACTGTCCCAGTTTTTGAGGGGGGACTATGGTTTTAAGTCCACTGTTGAAACCCTCTCTCTGAAAAATGTTTTACATGGACAATCAAAATTTTTGATTAAATAATACTAATAATACAAATGATTGTGCTGAAATTACGAATTTTCCATATCAGGTCATTCATAGATTTAAGTTTTACTGACACTATTTAAGAAAGAAGGTAACTTGCTACCTGCAATGCTCGCAGGACACAGAGCACAACTATAAATATTATCGGTGTGACATGCGATAAATGGACATCAATCCGGGAGTTATAGTCGGCAGCTGAGAAGGGACCTGGAAATGTTGTAATGTTATCAACTGTTGTTCAAGCTCAGGGTAGATAGTATATTGCAAGATCAGCTCTACAGTGCGGAGCAGTACAAAGTAAATATATACCCTGACAATATCCCAACACTGGCATGACTTTCAAAAAGTGTTTCTACAACAATCTGAAACGAATAGTTCTCAATATTATATTAGTGGACAGTTCTCTCAAGAAGTTAAGCAAATGTTAGATAGCACTTACCATGTAATTAGCATCATCTCTTACAAACTCCACGGAATAAACCGGGAGAGAAGATGAGCTTTTGAGGGCCAGGAAAATAACACAGACAGAGACAAAGGAGATGGTGTCAACGAGGAATAGACAAATGTGCTCCGGGAGGTTCAACATCCTGAATAATAGGTAAAACCGGTAAATTAATTTCTCAACGGGTCATAGACTGCGGAGTGATGTACTTAAACAATGGTGATGTAATTAAACAATGGTAATTACATGAATGATTAATAATTATAGATGATTTAAAAATTCTAGTATTAATCAGACGCTACGACAGTAAAACCATAATACAATAAAATGGGTACAAAATATATAATATTACTGTATAAAATTCCACAAGCTGGTTACAATTAACACGTCTTTAATTTTTGGAAATCATTTTTAATATTAATAAATGACTAAAAAGGGGACGTTTCTTCCAATCAAGATATAATAGCATGTAAAATACAGAACATTAAAAAAGAGTTCTATCGAGGGCTCAATCAACCTCTTTTAAGAGAAGTACATGTTTGCAATTTGTTCTAAATCTTACAGCTGTACACCTTCTCAACCATATCTGGTGATCAGTCTTATAACCTGGTGAGTAGTCGGTAGCAAAGTTAAAATTGAGTACTGTCACATTGTTACACACAACCTTTAGGTGGGTACAAGTTTTAGTTATAATCCAGTGTTTTACTTTGTCAGGTGGAACACTGTCTAAGTACTGTGTATTGTAACTAAGTACAGTACATCCCGCAATGCAATAACTCCACAGACTGGTGTCTTTATTCTCACATATCATACCAAACCACTTCTCATCAGTACAACCCTCTACAGGTAGATTATAATACACAGCAATATCTTTCTGTAACTCATTATCTGTTGTTATGAACTGTACTGGTTCGTCTGGTAACAAAGGGTAGAATTTGCCACTTACAATCTGCATCCAACCTGCAAATAAATTAGTTACAATGAACAAATAAAGTGACACAACGTGTAACTGTTAATAAAATGGTTAACTCAAAATTAATAATATAACTAAGTTAGAGACATAAAATTTGGGTGAAAAGAAATATTTAAATGTTAATTAGTGACTACTAATAGTAATAAAATTCCATTTACCTGTTTTAAACTCATCAGTTTGTATAGCAACGTCTTTGCAACTCTCCTGTACATCTTCATCATCACTATCTTTTGAATCTCCACTACATTGACTGTCTTCTAGCACCTCATCAGAACCACCAGCTACACCTTCACTCCTCAACTTGACCACCTTTTCTACCAACTCTTTTACTTTACCACTCTCAGATCCTCCCGACAGTTCAGTCATCAGGTCTACTACTTCAACAAACTGGTCCGGATATCTTTGCTGAAATAGTCTCATATCTACTTGTTTGAATAAATACAGAGAGTTCTCATCAAATCCTGTGTACTTCAACCCAAACGTGAGATAACTCACTAAACAATCAAACAGAATGTTCAATTCTCTCCCGGCTATTTGTATTGACATGTCTATCTGACGCTTTGACAGCTCAGCAAAGTTGGACATGTATTTCCGTAGAAATACACTTTTGCCTATGTTCCTGGATGTCAAATTTCTGACAAATAGCCCCACAAACTTGCTCTGTTTCAAGTTGAAGTATGCACGACTTGCAATCTCACAGGCAAACAAAATCTCCTCATATGAATTGTTCTTAAAGTTTAGAACATTTGTTTTGAAGAAGTTAAGACTCGTCTTACTCAGCCAACTCACGTCAAAAACATAAGCCATCTTATTAACATCTTCGAAATTATCTCTATCCATGTTTTCAGCTTCACCAGAGTACATTGCATCCACAAAACAATGTACTGCTTCAACACTAAAGTCATCCATCTCAAGGGAAGACTGAAATAAAGAGAACTGTAAGTTTAATGTACAGGTGTAGTGAATTACGAATAATGGAACTTGTATTTTAAACAAATAACTTTATAAAACTTGCATTTTCATAACACTAACAAACATCAAATCTATATAATAATATACTTTCTCTCAGTACCTGACAAAGATTGGTGGTGATGTTTCTAATAACCGGACTATTGAGGGACATTATGACCGAGTTTACCCTCAACACTGATCCATCTTTCAGATTCAGCACCAGGTTACCATGTACTGGGGAGTTGATAAATTCTCTACCAAAGTTGGCAGGAACTTTTACTTTGGGGATCATCACTAAGATTGTTGTATGGGATAGAATTGATTATTTTGTAACATACCTACAATGTTTGTAAAATTGACAGGTTACTATTTCTGATAAACTTCAATAGAAATATAATATTACTAAGGATTCATCTTCTGATAATGTCCCAGTGCCAGAGGAAAAATACTGCCAATGTGATGTTTACATGTCAGAAGAACTATCAGTTGAATGTGAAGCTTGCCAATTATTTTGGCACCTGAGTTGTGTTGGTTTATCTGGCCTTAAAAACGAGATGTTACTGAATCTTACAAACTGGAAGTGCCCATACTGTTTTGTGGCGCCTCATACCTCAGCTGACACTAATGAAAACGGGGTTGTCAGGGCTATTATTAAAGAGGAACTCCAACATTTGACCCCAGCCCTGACTAACTCGATTAAGGAAGCTATTAAAGGAAGTGCAGAGAAAACAGTTGATAAAGCTGTTCGTCTTTATTCTGAGGTAACAGCACAAACCCAGAAGAAGGTTCTCGATGACATGAGTCGTGAACAAGCTTCTGAAACTGTTATTTCGGAAGTGCAAATGAAGATGCACACTGATACATTTGAGCGAAACAAACGAAAACTCAATCTGTGTGTGCTCAAGGTTCCAGAGAGCAAAAAGACTACCTCTAAGCAACGCCAGGAGGACGACTCCAAGTTCTGCAGGGAGACCCTAAAGATTAAGAAGGACGACATGATAAGTTGCCATCGCTCTGGCAAGCTTGATGCTGACAAGCCAGATCACCGTCGCCCGCTCATCATCCAGACACGAGATGAAGAGTCAGTAAATTTCTACGCTGACCATGGTAAGGGCTGGAAAGAGTCAACTTTTTGGATCAACTTGGACCTATGCAAGGCAGACAGAGATATTCGTTTTTTAGCCAGAAAGGAGAGGAAGAAGAGGCAGGAGGAAGCGAAGAAAAGAGAGACAGAAAAGACGAAGGAGGAAGCAAAGAAAAGAGAGCCAGAGAAGACAGAGGAAAAAGCGGAGGCCGCAGTGCCCAGCCGTTAAATATTTTTTATACCAATGCTAACGGCCTATTTAATAAAATTGATGAACTAAAATATATTTTATCAATGTATAAATCTATTGAGGTAATTTGTGTAACAGAAACTCATTTTAGTAGTGATATATTAGATGCCGAAATTTATATTGAAGGATTTAGTATGTTTAGAAAAGATAGAGATTTTAGAATTGACAATTCCACTGGCAGTATAAGTGGTGGAGGAGGCTCTATAATTTATGTTAAAAACTGTTGTAATGCTTCACTAGTGAACTCTTTTTTAAAGGCACCGGATTCTTTAGCTGTTAATATCAACACATCAGGTGGACTGATTAGTATTTGCTGTATTTACAGATCCACTTCATTGAATTTAGAACAGAATAATGCGTTAATATCTTGTATCAAGAGCATCTGTAGTGAAAGGAATGATTTTGAAACACTCCTTTTAGGAGATTTTAATTTACCAAATGTTTTATGGGAAACTGGTAGCATAAATAGTAATATTGTTAGCAAGAACCAGTTTTTAGTTACTCAACAGAAATTCACGGATGTTTTTAATGACAGTGGTTTAACTTGGTATTTCACCAACGAGACAACTAGAAGACGGCTTGTGAAGGATACTCTCCAGGAGAGTCTTCTTGATCAGGTCCTGTATACAAATGATGCTCTTGTCAACGGTTGTAAGATCGTTTCTCCGCTTGGTAAGAGTGATCATGTTGGGATACTTGTCGAACTAGTTGTTTCGCCGGATACTAGCAAATGTTTAAAAGAGAAGATTATCAAACCTATATGGGGTAAGATTTCCTCTGAAGAGTTATTAAATTTTAGTTTGAAAAATATCGACTGGGATTATAGTTCTACCAATGATGTTCAAGATATGTGGGCTGAATTACATGGTAAACTGGAGACTGTTGCTGCAGCTGTTCCGACTGCTTCGGTTTATCTCGACAACAGACCTGTCAAGTTGCCATGGAGTACATCTGCACTTAAACGAATGAGAAAGAATAAAGATAAAGCATGGGCTGAGTTTGATATTAATCCATCTGATGTTAATTTTAGTTATGCAAGTAGCAAACAACATACTTATGAAGTAGCAGAAATTAAAGCTAAAGTTAACTATGAAAAGAAAATTACATCTAATCTGAAGCAGAATTGTAAGTCTTTTTACTCTTATTTACGAAATAAACGTCAAATTAAATCAAGTGTGGTTTCTTTAGATAGAGGAGATGGTACACGCACAGATAGTTCAACTGAGTCAGCTGAGGTACTCGCAAGTGCCTTTAGCTCTGTTTTTGTGCGTGAACCACCTGGCCCTCTCCCTAAAACTGAGAATTTAAGACCTGACAATGAGAGTATTGATGATATTGATGATATGGAAGTCAGCAGTTCTGATATAAAAAAGCAACTTTTAAAGCTTAACATTTTTAAGAGTTCTGGTCCGGATGGTGTTCATCCGAAGTTGTTGAAATCGCTAGCTTATGACAACAATTTTGTTGAAGCATTAACTAAATTATTTCAAAAGTGTTCAGATACAGGATCTTTACCTGCAGTGTGGAAATCTGCATCTGTTGTAGCATTGTTTAAAAAGGGTATTAAATCGGACCCCTTAAATTATAGACCAGTTTCATTAACGTGTATTTTGTGCAAAGTGTATGAAAAGTTGGTGAGAGCACATGTATTAAATTTTCTAGAACATCGAATTTCGAAGCATCAGCATGGATTTGTTAAGGGTAAATCGTGTTTATCTAATCTTTTAGAGACATTTGATGACATTCTTGACATTTTAGATGAAGGTGCCCCGGTTGATCTTCTATACTTTGATTTTAGTAAGGCATTCGACACAATCCCCCACTTTAGACTTCTGTCTAAATTGGAAGGCTTTGGTGTCAAAGGAAAGGTTTTAGATGTTATTAAAGATTTTCTGACAGACAGGACTATGAGGGTTTCTGTAGAAGGACAATGGTCCGAGGTTAAACATGTTTTATCTGGTGTTCCTCAGGGGTCAGTTCTAGGCCCTCTCCTATTCATTCTGTATATTAATGATTTGCCTGACCTTGTAAAAAATAAGATAAAGTTATTTGCTGATGATCTTAAATTAATTGGTAATGCAGCTAACCACGGTAGTGTTGCTGAAGATATCGAAGAATTAGAAGTTTGGGAAAGTATTTGGCTTTTACAATTTAATCCTGCCAAGTGCAAAGTAGTGCACATTAATTTTAACAACAATCCTAATTTAAATTATAAGGTAAATGGTATAGAACTTGAAGTATCTGCACAGGAAAAAGATTTGGGGGTTATCACCCATAGCTCCCTGCTTTGGAACGAACAGATCAAAGCATGTATCGCTAAGGCAAATCGTATGATTTGTTGGATTGTAAGGAATTTAGTTATTAGAGAAAAGGTTGTTATGATTGCTATATATAAAGCTTTAATAAGACCTCATCTTGAGTATTGTGTCCAATTGTGGAATCCACCTGCGGCTCATGGAAGTTGGGGGACTGTTTTGGAGCTGGAGAGCGTCCAGAGGCGGTTTACCCGTCTGATTGATGAGGTGGGTACTCTTCCTTACAGCCGTAGACTGGAAATCCTCAATTTGACAACGCTGGCAGAGCGGCGAATACGTGGGGACCTTATTGAAGCTTTTAAGGTTATTAATGCTATGACTGATTATGGTTCAGACTTGTTCAGACCAAGCAGATCAGGTCTTAATCTGGTTTCATCCAATAGATGTAGTAAAAGTGTGACAAAGGTCAAGAATATCCAGAAGTCTTTTCTCCCGGAGCGAGTTATTCCATATTGGAACAAACTCCCTCCGGACGTCAAGAACTCTGTGACAGTTTTAGGTTTTAAAATTAAATTAGAAGGATATAAGATAGATATGATTTCTAAAAGTATTACAAATGATTGCTTTTTTTGGAATGTTTCTAATGAAGTTTTAGTAAGAATTGAGGGAGCCAGTTATGTCAGTAATAAAGAGAAACATAACAATTATCTTTGGTTCCATCCTTATGTGGCAAAGAAGCGTTTTATAAATCTTTATTCCACTGGGAAGTTTTTAAAATAGGATAATGTTTTTGATGAAATTGTTTTTAAATATTGTATTTGATAATTAATTAATGTTGGTGGGGAAATATTTATTATATATTTTTTCACACAGTGCGATGATAGTTTGTAGACATGTGTGATGATGTGATGTCATAAATTTTACTTTACTTTACTTTACTTTACTTTACTTTACTTTACTTTACTTTACTTTACTAATTGGGCTTTAGATTACCAATTTGAGCTAATAGGCGCTAATATATATTGTAAATAATAACGGAGCACGACTTTAGGGTATGCAAGGCCAAGTCATGGGATGCCTGCCACAAAATGAAGGCTATGTGGAAGTCCAATCTGAGCCGAGATTTAAAGATAAAGTAAAGTAAAGTAAAAGGATAGACGGATGTTAAAATAGAATGCTTCGGATGGCCCTAAACGTGGACTGGAGAGAACATTGCACTAACAAGGAGGTCTTTGGATCACTCCCAAGAGTGAGTTCGAAGATTCAGGCCAGAAGAATGAGGTAGCTGGGCACATCCAGCGACATGATGACCCGGCAGCACACCAACTTCTCCTTTGGGAACCTCGCCACGGGACCAGGGGGCGGGGCAGATCACCGCTCACTTTCGTCGAAAACCTAAGAAATGACACCGGACTCAAGAACACTGAGGAGATTAAGAAGCTTATGTCGGACAGAAAGCTTTGGAGACACATCATCGAGACTCTGACTCTGAAGCCGCCATAAGTCAAGTCATTTATTGTAAGATCAGCTCTAGAGTGCAAAACAGTACAAAGCGAAAATGTATATTGTATACCCTGACAATACCCCAACACTTTCAAAAAGGGCTTCTACAACAATCTGAAACGAATGGTTCTTGATTGACGATGTCAATCCTTCGCATCTCGCCGATCTGCTGTGGTTGCGAGAAGCATTATTGGATGCGCGCGCGACCCAGTAGTGCATCGCGCTACAAGAATGGTTCTCGATACTACTTTAGTGGACAGTTCTCTAAAGAAGTTAAGCAAATGTTAGATAGCACTGACCATGTAATTAGCATCATCTCTTACAAACTCCACGGAATAAACAGGAAGATAAGATGAGCTTTTATAAATAATTTTTTTAATTTAAGCCCCACGCAAGCAGCAAATGCTTGATTCACGATGTCAATCCTTCGCATCTCGCCGATCTGTGGTTGCGAGAAGCATTATTGGATGCGCGCGCGCGACCCAGTAGTGCATCGCGCTACAAGCAAATGCTGGAGCAGTTATCTCCGGAAGTAAAATGAATAGAAACTTTTGGTTTTTATGCAAAAATTTTGCCTTGTAGTTGTATAAATAACGTTACCCTTTTAAGTACTAAAAAGAAAATTAGGGACATTTTAGATTTTGAGTTATCCCAAAAACATTTATTTTGGGCCTCATAAATTTCGCAGCTTTAACTTTGCAAATTTTTGTTCTTTGATTGGCTGAATCGTATCACGTGGTGATTGCATTTTTTGCAATGCTTAGCTTGTATGTTTACAACTTACCAGGACGCGCGCCGAGTTGGAATCGTCGACGGTCCTGTATATGGAACAGATATTTTACGAGTATCACCCGTTAATGCTTAGCGCGAGCTTCATGAGCTTGGAGGACTTCGCCGCTTCGACGCGCCGCGCAAACTATCATTTTGATTTTGCTTCGCATCGTCGATCGTTGGCCGTTCACTGTTGCTTTGCTTCGCAGAGCAACGATCTCGATGGATTGACATCGTCGCGTCAATCATTATCAATGATCAAGCTTGATCGAGCATGCTATGGAAAGATTGACGGCCGGTGTTACTCGTCTACCTTATTTCTTCGAAGTAGCGCGCGCCGCCCGCGCTTTCTTCTCGAAATGGCCTGATGGCAAGTGCTACAAAGTAGCGCGCGCCGGGCCAGACCATTAACAATGGTCAATGGAAACACTATTACTTTTACAGTAATACGCTCAGCCATGCCAATAAGTTAATTGCTGGCGGTAAAAACCGGAGCCGATAGTTCAACGATCAACTGTAAAGTGATTTAGCACGATGATCTTCGAGATTCACTTCGAGATGGCCAGGCCTACTCTCATGCTGTCTATTATATGTGATGATTAATTCTGAAAAACTAGGGACAACTGGGGAATGATCCCAGAACCTCGAGATTTCGCGTATCTTGCTCTACCAATTGAGCTACTGACCCTGATTCTCAGAGCGAAATCACCACTCATATACAGCACAATTTTATGCTATAGACAGCATGAGAGTAGGCCTGGCCATCTCGAAGTGATAATAATAATTAACTGTTTCGCAGATTGGCAATTGATCGGTGTAGTTGGTGTTGTACACACTGCACTGATAACGATATCACGTTGTACTGTGTACGTGTAATGTAAATATAGTGTGGATAAATGCGAATATATATTCTAAATAACTGATAAATCTTCGAGATTGTTCTAAAAGGGCTCCATACAATTGAAATTAGACGAATTTGAAGCGATGTATTTTAAAACGCTGATTCCAAATTACACCCCCCTTGTAGGTTTACAACCTACCAGGACGCGCGCCGAGTTGGAACAGATATTTTACGAGTATCACCCGTTAACACCCCCCCCCCCCCCCGCCCCCAGTGTAGAGTTTCTACGATACAGGGGAAGCCGCGTACTCGTGCACGGAGGGTCATACTACGTAAGACAAGGGTTTCGAATAGTCGTTTAGGGTCGGCTAGAAAACGTGTTGAAAAATTTACGTGACAGTTGAGTCAGTGTATTGAGTGTAGACTGATTTATTACATTATTTAATTTAACGGGTGGTACCTGAAAATATTTGTTTCACAACCGTCGACGAGTCCAACTCGGTGCGCTTCTTTGAGTTTGTAGGTTATAAACCTACAACATATCATCCGACAGGCTGAGCGCCGCTCAGTAAGCTTTATTTTTACGTTGGATATTGATGAAAGCAAGCTTCTAAATTCAGGATAGCCTGTGGCAGGCAACGCCCGATTCTAATGCTTCTACAGACCTACACAAGTGCAAGTAAGTAGGTAAATATTTCATGCTAGGCATGTGGCACCCATTACGGTAACCAATAACCATCCATTGAGTTTTTGCTTTTTTGCTGTACTATATTGCACAGCTCCCCATTTAACCCTCACACACGATTTCTCGAGCATTCGGCTGGGTGGACCGGGAGGCTGCATAAATCCTATGGGATCCTTAGCAGAACGTCGACGACGCTCACCCCACGACTAGGTAGACAGCGGGTATTGAACTTGCAACCTCACGATTGCTGGCGTTCTAAGAACTTCCCTCTAACCAACTGAGCTACCAGTACCTGGCCGTTGGATATTATTACCTATATAATTAAAAAACATGAACAATAAAACTAGAACTACTGCAATATACAATGTACAAATGTATCATTTTTCAATTGGGAGTGCTTCTGGACTTGTTTTGCGTTTGGTTTACAATTACATTTTTCTTTCCCATTTCCGTACACTTTAATTGTAATCTACTGATCGTCTGTGTTATTCAGTTTTACTAGCACAATGAACAAACGACCACGTACTTCCGGAGATTTACCCCAGCCAGTAAGGTTTCCTGTGTATTTTCTGAGTCGCCCGACGCCCAATCGCAGAATCGCTCCTGTATTGGCTGACACGGAGATAGTTGTAGGTTTATAACCTACCAGGACGCGCGCTGAGTTGGACTCGTCGACGGTCCTAATATTTGAAACAAATATTTTACGAGTATCATCCGTTAAGGAGATTTTGATTGGGAACTGGGTTTTACTACCCCAGTTAATGTTTACTAAAAATAGATATTGAACAGCAATTTAAAATTGTAAATATACATATAAAAGTATGTATAAAGGCTGCACCAGCTGACTAAGAGTAATGAAACAGCGATCTCTGAACAAGATTCGCCTAAAACCAGATTAATCCCTTGAAAACTATACAGTTTTGTATAAGTGAAATAAAATGGTTAGATCCTTCGACAAAAACTAAGCACACAGAAGACAAATACTCATAGAGCTAAACTTTTTGATTTGCTCACAACACGAAAAATATTTAGAAACTCATTTTTGCCTCTCAAGGCTACAAATCTTCCCTTCACGAATGAAGAGTTTTTTGTCCTTCTCAATACCAGCTCTTCTTTTTAGCTCTAGGACAAGTTCTTTACGCTGAGCTCTCTCTTCTGCTGTACGATCTGGAGCTAGGAACACCCTCTTAAATCTCTCTGTTCCACACAGTTTACTCGACTTCTTCAGTATTTGTTGCACAATCGAAGAACTGGAAAAGGAAACTTTAACCGGTCTTGCAGCTGACGGTGATTTCTTGCCGATTCTACAAGCCTCAACTCGGGGTTTCTCTCCCAATGATTCCAATACTGCAGCGACTTTTGTATTGATCTCCTCATTGACCTCCTCGCATAGCCCAAAGGCCATGATGTTCCTACCCAACTCCTCCTCCAAAGCAATTTGCTTGGCAACTGATTTAATGGATTCTGTAGAAATCGCAGCTGAGTTCTCGATACTACCGGATTTCACCACATCGCTAAAACTTTGTTTAACTGAACTGACTTCTTTCTGAACACCCTCAAAAAACTCAGTCTTGAGATGTTCGTTAAACTCTATCGCCTTAGAAAGTCCTTCTTTTGCAGATAATAGTTGCTCCTGTAGTTTTATAACTTGGTCCTGCAGCTGTATCATACTAGACTGATACTGACTAACGTGTACCCTCTGATTTATGATCATGTTATGCTGTCTCTCAATGAGCTGCATGGCTTGCAAAAACTTTGCCGCTAAATCCCCCTTGTTACCAATTTTGTTCCCGCTCTCATGATTTAGTTCTTGAACACAATCGACTTTACACTGTTTCACGGTATCAAGTAGGAACTTTTGTCCATCGGTCTCTACTAAGTCAAATTTGAAACGTTCTGCTACTGTCGGCATATCGTTGATCAGTTATACACAGTGTATAGTATCCGTAAAACAAGCTGTAGCTGCGAGTATGAGATAGTTGTTGAGATGATAAGCGCTGCTGATAACAGAGGCACAAATTAGCAACGAAATAAAAGCGTGTATAACTGCACTGATAAAAGCGTGTATAACTGCACTGATAAAAGCGTGTATAACTGCACTGAATAAAAGCGTGTATAACTGCACTGAGAAAGCGATGGCATGTGCAGCAGTGTTTTTAGCATCTGCTGCATCACGCATATAGTTGATCTGATGTCATTGCAAAGAAGAAGAGAACGGTATTTAATCATCAACTTGTGGAAAGTTCTGCATTGCAAGTGCCCTAATGATATTGGTATCCAGCTCTCGGTGACTCTCAGACATGGTCAAAAAGCAGTTGTGCCCAGTATAGCTAAGTCCAGCAGTCAACGTAATCAAGCTTTACAATATACATGATATGACAACTCATTTGCAGTCACTGGACCTCGATTATGGAATGTAATGTAATCGGAGCTCCGGAGTGCCACATTGCTAGACAGTTTCAAAGTTGGTCTACGCCCTGCCAAACTCACCAAAACGTACCGAAACGTACGTACGTAATCCCAATACATATGCACACCATCGAGGATACTATGCAATTCAAAGCAGCTTTAACGAACTTTGTCAAGTCATTTCCGGAGGAGCCTCCAGCTCCAGGATACAGCCGTCGGAATGGAAACTCCTTGCTGGATTGGAGTGGTATGGTGATAAAACAATTTCTATACTGTCCGGGGATCGACTTCTTCGATGGCCCGATAGAGGATTCTATGAAGCCCAACAAAGTAACAAAGTACAGTAATGTATTCTGTGTAAATACACTCATAAATAATACTCCAATCCGGATTTTACAAAGTAAAGTAAGTACTAAGTAGTTATACTACTAGATTTGATTCGGAGTACTGGGTTACTGGGCGGCGCTCAGCCAGCAGCCTGTCAATGACCGCCTGTCAATGACAGCCTGTCATTCCGCCGAATCTCTATATCATATATGTTTATGAACATCATTTAATAGCCTGGGATCCCCTCGGGTGATTTCTGGGTCGGTTTCCTGTTTAACATGGCAACAGACCAGGGTGGTATAAGCACGAATGCAGGACTGACAGTGCTGAAGAAGGCTGCTCCCGGAAGTGCAGATAGCGGAGGTCACTGGACACTAGACATAGTATGCTATATAATAATATATCGGTCTGAATTTGCAATAGATACGTGCCTCCCATAATAATGTAAGATGTTCTATTTAGTCCAGCTATATTTTTCCTGATAAGAAGTTTAATCGAGGCAATATGCAATGGTATATTACCAGGAATACACACAGACAATATTATTAATAATGACTTTTTATTTTTATAACTTTAGATTAAGAAACACTAGACGTAGACCAGTCTAAACAAATTAGGATAAATTTTGATTCACGATGTCAATCCTTCGCATCTCGCCGATCTGCGAGAAGCATTATTTGATGCGCGCGCGACCCAGTAGTGCATCGCGCTACAAGATAAATTTTGGTTTCTCCAATTCGATTTTTGAGAAAAAATACATACAACAATTTATGAAAGCAACATGTAATGCATGTTTTTGTGATTTTGTCATCCTTAGCACTATAACGGGTGTATTGATGACTCGGATCAGTTTCTAACTCCGACTTTAGTTTCTAACTCCGACTTTAGTTTCTAACTCCGACTTTACTCCTGATCCAGAATATCGGAGTTTGCTAGGGTCTCCAGATGGCTAATTCAAATTGGTGTCTCCAGATGGCAAGGCATCAGGTTTCAACTCACTTTGTTCGGCGGAATTTCATGGACCGTGTACCACCTTTCTTACAACTGTATTGATCGCACACAAAAACAATTATTCCATGGCAACCGTCGCGTGTGATCTTATTGCCATTGATCACATGTACAGAATTTGTTTCATGCTAGTCTTTGTTGGTGTTCCGAGCTTCCTTCCGTCTGGCTCAGTACTAAACTCATTCTTGAAAATTGAAATTTACTCTACTATTTGAACATTTAGCAGGATCGACTAAGCGAGCATGGATCCTGATGTTTTGCTTTTTTTTGCGTACTGTTGATGTTAGGCCCAAGGGATTTGATAGACCATATTATATCTTTCAATCACCTTCGTATACCATCAATTTGCTGTTTAAATTTGTTTCAGTAATCAATTTATTTATCCCAAAAGGGGTTACATTTTTTCTTCTTTTAGAAGTACAGTCCAAAGTAAAGTGCTACTGCAGATAGCTGTGCAGATGATACGGTTATTATCTACAATATTGCCTTGGTTAGGCTTCTTTCTTGTTCGGGAAGCAACATGTGATGACTCAGACCAAGGTTTCTATTTTCTAGTATTATGTTAAATATGTTATTTATCTTTACATTTTATGTAACATTTATTTTTAATCAATTATAGCATCTCTATCATTTGCAACGGGTAATCGCGGGAAGTGGTGGGTACGGTTAGCAGCATACATTTCTAACTTTGCAATCGTATAAAACGTTTCGTCGATGTATAATTCGATTGTAGATGAATAGTATTAAATTTGAATATGTAGTTGCAATATTAAAAAACATTAAAAAACAATACACCTTGCTGCTCGCAGTAAGTTTATAATTATATCATTCTCATTTAATGAATATCATCAAATAATGCAGCTATTCTTCAGAGGCTACATTACAACTGTTACTCAATTCGTCTCCAGTAACACAGCTTGTCTCCGGTTTCAAGCTAACGTTGGAGTGTGATATTGCCGGTGGAGCGAAATCGATTAATTGGTCAGTTACAATACTATATGAATGTACTCTGTTATCGGCTTCATGAAATTCTCCCTAAGACTAAGTTTCTTTGAGTAATAGCCACAATGAATTAGATGTCTATAATCATAAGATTTAAATCAAATCTCATTGAAATAATTGTAACGGTTTGTAAGGTTTCAAAACGACGAAAAGTTAACAGTCTACGAAGAGGTATCCAAAAAGAAAGTGGAATCAAATGATGAACTCATCGAAAAGATGACAATATCACTGATAACGAACAACGATAACAATGACCCGGTGTATAATCAATTTAAGTGTCAAGGGATGATATCGGACGAGACAAATTTCAATTCCAACAGTATTCTTCTTCAAGTGTTTCCTGCTAAAACTACAAAGGTTCCTGCAGATAAAGAACATACTTATGAGGATGAGTCCCACGAGTTTGTGTGTCAGTTCCCAAACGGTGATGTGCCGACTACGTACACTGTATCGTGGGAATTTAATAAACAAGTAAGAGTGGAAAAACTTCTTCACCCTTAACTTTCATTTACTCCCAAATCACAACCAAATTTTTATCGATTTCGAAGTTTTTAGTTCAATTTCATACAGGATAATCGTAGATCTCAAACTGCAAGTAAAGATTACCTATATTATTATCCCTGAAACAAAGAAATTCCGAAATAAATCATGGTCAAAATCGTGTATACAAATACAATGGATATAAAATTTTTTTAAATGTTCATTATCAAACTATCTTCCAAATATACCGGGGCATACCACTAACTAAAATCATGTCTGATGCTGAAAAAAGGGCATTACTCACGGAAACCAGTACACATTGTTTACTGGTCCAACTTTCACAGAGTATGGTGGATCAAACCTGGTACACAATTGACACCAAAGTGACCAAACCAACTCTTGCTGATGGAAATACAGTCATCGAAACTATTTTTAAGATAACCAAGGTAAGATACAAATTATTATTATCATTTAATTACAACAAGTATTACAGTAATACCCCGATTTACCGCGGAGTTTGGGAGAAAGGAAATAGCCGTGGTAAATCGAGGTTTGCGGTAAATCGGGGCATTGCGTGGTAAATCGGGGTTTTACTTTATTAGGTAGAAATATGCACAAAATGTTTCCCTCGATAATAGTAACGTGAGTACTCACTATGTAACCAGTCACGTCATCAATCAAACTGTAAACAAAGTCCTTAACATCCAGGTAGATGCAGGAGCCAACGGAGAGTACTCTTGTTCCATTACCTGGCCGGATGATGGAGTTGTCATTAGTTCTGGAGAAATAACACTGGCAGTGCGATTAATATCAGATACTACAGAAGCATTCTCCATGTCCTCTGGATTCCCTGCAATGTTCATGTGCTCCGCAGTAGGTGACAAAGTTGCTGCCATAACATTTTCAATTACAGATGCAGTTACGGACATGTCACGTGATGTAACAGTGGTGGTAACAGAATCCGTTGATGATCAACAAAGAGTTACCACAGTTGGGAATTTGGACCTCAGTCAGCTCACAGCTAGCTCTTTTATTAATTGTGCTGTTCAGTGGGATGGTGATGCAACCATTCTCACATCCAACCCAAATCTTGTGACTGTCATGTCAGTCGATATCACCGATAAAGGGGTCGGAAAAAAGAGATCCGATGGATGGGTTGCTGAAAAGGTGTATCTGGAGCTTAAGTGTATAGCTGATGTGCAGCTACCTCATCATTTACCATATTGGGTGTATCCTAACCCTGATTTTGAATGGATGCTACGTACAGAAAAATCATCTAAGTGGGTTAAAATTGTGGACAGCGATGATATCGAGTGAGTCCAGTGATTTAAACGGTTTTGTTACTGCTAATATCTAGTGATGGAATTGAAAATGTCACGATGAAATTATATGATAAACCGATATTAATACTACCAGAAATAAATCTTAATCTTAATTACCGAGTCTATAGCTAACAATTGTTACTATAAATAAGAAATAACAGTCACAGTTGACACCATATGATATAATCCCAAATCTTATATGTACAGAGTACATACAATATACACATACATGTATGTATTATGTTTGAACCTATTTTTTATTGCAATTTTTCCTTCATTAAAATGCAATAGATAACCAAATGATACCCAGATTTACGATCAAGAGTTCGAAAACGTATGGCGACAGACTTATGAGTGCTCTAACTCTTGGCCCAATACAGATTGAACACAATAAATACGATGTAAAATGTAACGTCGACTATCACAGCAATGTTGAGCAAAATTTTCAGGGAGGAAAGGTATCATCAGAGGAATTTGAAGTAAAAGTGATGCACATCAAGTCTTTCTTGGTTGTCTCTGATGACACCATCGTTGTGGGCGAGGATTTTGATCTTGTATGCTTGGCTTATGGGCCTCCTGATTCCAAACAGGAGATCGAATTGTTAAACAATTCAGAGGGCAAATTCTATCATTTCCACACTAAAGTGTATGACGGGGACGGGGAGAATTACCGCGAAGATTTCACAGTGAACGCAGAATATGTTGTATTAGATGGGGCCAATCTCACTTGCCAGGTAAGTTCTTGATGTAACTTTATTGTATTTTTTAGTACTCATTGGTCAATATTATTCCACTAATAACTTTGCATTTTTGTTATTCTCAGATGCCCTAGTAACAAATCAAGATTGTTAGTCGAATTGATATAGCCGTGCTTTAAAATTGAATCATGTACAAATACATTTGTTCTGATAGATACCTTTATTCGGTTAGGTCGGATTTGAAGATTACTCATTTAACGTAAGTAAATCGTTACTAGTGAAATCATACTACGATTGCACCAAAGCTCCGATATCGTCCTTCGACACATGTAAGAATGTACATTGTACCTTATCGGTCGTAATTATCACGGACAACTTTTTCACGGACCATATTTTTCACGGACATAATTATTTACGATCATGACCGCCCAAACATTTCCAAAAAATTGTGAAAATGTTTGGTGATTTATTAAGAAGTGTTTTACTCTTTTTCTGAATTCTAGAATGTGACTGAGGTGTGATTATATTTGTCCTCGTATACTAATAAGCTAATATAGTAAACGGCTACACACATATCATTATCTACGCATATGTAGGGACACACACACTAAGATTAATGGATATAATTTCCGGACTTTATTATTCACGGACCTTAATGCCACAGACATTATTTTCACTGACATAATTATTCATGTTAAAGTCTTCAACGTGAAAGCAATGTCCGCGATAATCATGACCGATAAGGTAATCATTAACTTAACACTATTATAGTGTTATTGAATGATTAAGAGTGAAATTGAATTTTAATCGAAAATATTATTATAATGATATTTCCGATTAACATTAAAATTCAATTTCACTCTAAATCATTCAATATTAATAACAGCAGGAGAAGATGATACTGACAGAGTTAAAAATAATTACATCTTATATTATCGCGATCGAGGCTACTTTTTTCATAACTGATGGCATATAAACTATCTTCCTCAGTACCGCCGGTACTACCGGGAATGTCAATTGAGTACACAGATGATAAAGGGGACAGAACAGCTAAAGTAATTTGTCCTGATGATGATGTCCACGGGAAATACATAATAGATGGTAAGAAAGACCTATAGAAACTGCGGCCATAATCCAGTATCTAACTTGTAATGTTAACCTTACCTATAAATAACCTCATATATGAGAGGCCAAAATTTTGTTGTCTGAGACACAAATTTTGAATGTTGGAGGGCAGGGTGCAGTTGTGATTGGTCATTGTTCTTCATTATCTCTAAATACCTTACTTTTCAGGCACCGATTACGTCAAGGAGGAATCATTTTGCTCAAAGCGCACTGGCGCCTACGAACCACCTCAACTTGCATCGTGCAAATTTGTGTATCCCTTCGTCCATGGAACGTATGAGCAAGTTTGGGATCTTCAAAAAGCTGATTTCACGGTCAGTTTCCACTCCACACAAGCTTTCATATTCTAATTACATTTCTAAAATGTTTTAAACCTATATCACCTTCATTAAAACGCTTTAATTCTATATAAATTAAAATAGGTTTGCGAATATGAAGACACTAATGAAGACTACTACTACTCTTCAACGCAAATATGGAAAAATTTAGTTACAAGATCAGATAAATGTGGTACTCACATAGTGGTACCATGTCTCCAAACTAACGGTATTTACATTGTTTACATAATTATGCTGACAACAAAGTGGTGATTGTCTTAGCTTTCATGTAATGATTATTTCTTTTTCCATGGTCAATTTTAGATCTGGATTCTGTTTATGATAAAAATATTTTCTATCTACGTATGTGAAATTCAAATAACGTTTACACAATTATAGCGATATTAATTCATAATAATAAATCTGTGATGTTGTATTCAATTTCATAGGTATTTTATGTTCGGATACTGCATTAACATCTCTTCAGAATGCACGTTAGTGGATGTAAGAGGGAAAACTGGTTGTCGCTGGAACGATGAGACAAAAGCACTAACCATCTTCTACACAGTTAAACTAACAAATAAAGTGTGGACAGAAAAAGAAAGGGACGCTCTTGTAAACTTGCCTTTGACTGACTACCGGGGCGTGCCTTTGGCTGTAGAAACAAAGATTCCGTTTTATGATTGTTCTGGGGCTGAATGGAGATCCCGGATCAAATTCAAGTATCTCGGTAGGATGGAGTTTGATGCTGATTCCAATACGGTCATTGGTAAGAATAGTAATCACCTGTTCTTGTGTTTGTGAGCTGGTGTTGGAATTCGAGTAATTTCTTCAAAAGTTTCAATATCATGCTTTTATAATTTATAACCAAACATATGGTACTACTAAATATTGTACTACTAAATATGGTACAACTAAATATGGTACTACTAAATATGGTACTTCATTGATTGTCATTAAAAGCTGGACGGTGCCAGGCGGACGGCGGTTCTAATGACCAATTAAAACATATAAAATAATAGTGAATAATTTATAATATTTGATGGACAGCGCTGTGACTTGATAACGAAACCTTGACTGGGCGCTTCGATTTCTCTTTACGAATCTTTCCTATACTATCATGGTAGCCTGCAGAGTAGGTTTTACTTTTAGTCCTATCTCCTGGAATATCTCCTGTACCCGCTCTTCAACATTCTCGTCCTTCTGTTCTGGCAGTCCAAATAATACAACGTTCCTGCTCCGACCCTCCTCCTGGGACCTGGATGTTACCTGGGGACCCTGCAGGCTATTATGTTCATAAACATAGAATATAGATTCGGCGGAATGACAGGCTGAGCGAGTCTGGCAGACCATAACGTTCTCCGCAGCAGCTTCACTGTATGACTTGAACTGTTCATTCAAGTTGCTCTCCACTGAAGACTTGACCACAGTCTTTACTCATACTGCGTCGAGCTGCTTGTCCTTCATGTTGTGGACAACCTGCTCCTGTAATACTAATTAGCTGATTACCGCCACGTCTGATTCTCGATAACTATTAGCTGGCTCTTGATGGAGCTCAGCTCAGCCTTCAGCTGTTTCATTTTTTCCGCCTGAAACCGCACAAAGTGGAACGATTCAGAAAACAATAATACCAAAGTGTCCTTCATCCTAGAGCCAGTCTTAGGGTAGGTTCTTTCAATTGCAATGGCCTCGGAAACCCCGAGAAACGTAGATCGGTTCTTGGTTGGCTACTAGCTAAACCAGAAGATATTATTATGGTACAAGAATCTCACTCTGTAGTTGAAACGGAAGACTTCTGGAGGACAATCTGGGGGGGGGAGATATTTATTTCAATCATGGTACCTCTAAGTCCACTGGGGTTACATTCCTGGTCAAACCCAATTCTAATATTAAAATTTGCAGTCACAGGATCATCACACAGGGACGTGTATCACTGTTAGAAATTGAGAAGGATTCCATCAAGTATTGCTTGGTAAACGTCTATTGTCCTAATAGCAATGATACTTATGTTGTAGAGAACTTGTTCCTGGAAACTCTAGGACGTACAAGGGATGATTATCGTATCTTGGCTGGGGACTGGAATACTATCTTAAATAATAATCTTGATAAATATGGTGGTAATAGTTCCCACAGTAATACTAAGCGTCAGCAATATTTGAACCAGGTGACCGCTGATCATGGCATCAGTGATATCTTCCGTCTTAGTAGGGGTAATGAGCGTGTTTATACTCACGTAAATAAACAGCACAAAACCCAAACACGCCTAGATTTCTTCCTTATAGATGATAGTCTGGTTAATTATCCGGTCTGTAACGCAGATATTAGTCATGGTTTTCGATCTGATCACAGCTACATTTCATTATCTCTACAGGGTTCCCCCATTAAACGTGGAATAGGATATTGGAAACTTAATAATAGCCATCTAAATAATGAGTCGTTTTTGAGTAATGTACGGGAGATTATCAATGAAACTGCTGACAGTAATTTTGATTCGTACTCGGGACTCTGGGACGTGATTAAAATGAAAATTAAAGATTTTGCGATCAGATTCGGAAAAAAAGAAAAGAAAGAAAAAGTTGCAAAAAAGAAAAAAATATCCTCTGATATTGAAGAGGTTAAAAAGATAACTGATTTTATGCAGAAAGATGATCTGCGCAAAAAATTGTATGACTTGGAATCCCAGCTTGATGGTATCATTAAAGCTGAGGTTAACGGGGCCATGACCAGGTCTAGGATTCAGTGGACAGAGGAGGGTGAAAGGTCCACCAAATATTTCTTCGGGCTGGAGAAAAGTAGAGCAAAAAAAAAGTCTATTACCAAACTTATTAACAGCGATCAGAGTGTACTACGCACACAGCAGGATATTTCTGAGCACGTAGTTAACTTTTATCAGGACATCTTTAGCTCTACGAATCCAAACGAGCATGAAATAACCGATTATATTAATTCCAGTAACCTAGATACTATTGATCAGGAGAACGCGGATAGGTTAGATAGGCCAATTTCCCTCCTGGAGATGGATAGTATTATCAGTAAATTTAAGAAAAATAAATCTCCAGGGTGGGACGGCCTCACTGCTGAATTCTACAAAGTATTCTGGGAGGACATTAAGAATATCCTATTTAACTCCTTTTTAGAGTCGGTTGATAATGGGGTTATGTCACCTTCACAACGTCTAGGAATTATAACACTTATCCCGAAACCTAAAACCCCCATTGAGTTAAACTATATAAAGAACTGGCGACCAATCACCCTTTTGAATGTAGACTATAAGATATTCACTCATATTATAAAAAATAGGATCTTAAGTTCACTTCCAACACTTATTAGTACAGCCCAATCCGGGTTTCAAAAAGGGAAGAGTACCAGCGATAATCTGATCTTAATGTATCTAACCTTAGAACATTACCATGAGAACCAAGAGGATACTGGTATGATTATGCAGGTCGACCTCCAACGGGCTTTCGACTCGGTCGAACATAAGTTTCTTTTCAGTGTCTTGGAAGGTATGGGGTTTGGAAATTATTTAATCAACTTGGTGAGAGTGGCATTTCACGCTGGTATGAGTTACGCTAACGTTAACGGACACCTTAGCAGCCCTGTTCACATACTTCGTGGCGTCCATCAGGGGAGCCCCCTTTCCCCAATTCTTTTCCTCCTAGTGTCCCAGGTACTTAGTAATAAGCTACAGTATAACCCTTATATTAAAGGCCTCAGCATTAATGGTATCGACATACTCATGAGTCTGTTTGCTGATGACACGGATCTGTACCTGGATCCCTCCCAGGCTTGCGTAGATGCAGTTATCCTAGAGCTCAACCTGTTCGGTCAGCACTCAGGCTGTAAGCCCAACATCAGTAAAACTAAGTGCATACCTTTAGGAGCTACCAGAGACAACACTAGTCTTCGAAATTACCTTACCAGTACATACGGGGAAGACATGGTAGCTAACGAGTTTACAGCATTAGGAGTCAAGTTCGACAACACGTCTAGTGGAGCTGATCTCTGCAAAATGAACTACCACAGTAAACTTAGTAACGCCAGCACCGCTATCAACACTTGGAGTAAGAGAGACTTAACTCTGATAGGAAAGTGTACAATTGTTAAATCTCTTATTCTTTCCCAGTTCACTTACCTTATCATACCACTAGAAACTCCTGATACTAACACCATCAGTAAAATAGACACTATGATATTTCACTTCTTGTGGGGTTGTAAGAGGGATAAGTTGAAACGTGATATTGTTACTTCTCCTCGTGAATGTGGGGGTCTAGGTCTCTTCTATACTAACGATTTTATTATAGGTTTAAAAGTGTCACTTATAGGAAAAGTTATCGATCCTAATTTCCAACATGCCTGGAAAAATATTATCATCAATCAGCTTTTACACCCAAATATACCAACTGTGTGTATAGAAAACTGTCTCACATTAAAGAATACTGGTTTTACCTTTAACCTTCTTCGCCATTATAAGCTTTGGAAGTCTATTTCTTCACAGTCAAGTAAGAGTACAGTCAACCACTGTGTGTGGGGAAGCGACGTAATAACGGACATTGGCTCCAAGCTCTGGAACGATATTCTTATTGATAGAAATATCATCTATCTTTCTGATTTCGTTTCAGAGGAAGGTAACCTCTTAAGTTTTCAGCAATTTCTGAGAAAGTGGGGCCAAACAAGTAGTATAATCTCTTCGACTCAATATGCGAGTATAAAATTGGGAATACGTCGATTTAATAATACCGATACGTTTACAAGTAACATTACATTTATCGATACCCAACTTTCACTTCGCTTTTGGGGAGGTAGGAATACCCCCAACTCTAGAGATACTCCTCTCACTATCAAAGGTAGAAACATTAGAGATACCATGTCTAAGCGTTTAGATCCCAGCACCCTTCCTCCAATGAGGAACTGGAGTGCTAACCTCTCCTTAACGGATATTGATTGGATTAGTATTTTTACGGATATTTTTACTTCTTTCTCAAATAACTTCAAACTTATTCAGTACCAATATAAGCTCCTTCACCGGATTAGTACTTGTCGGTACATGAGATATAAAATGAAGATTGAAAAAGATAGTCCAAATTGCTCGTTATGTAATCACAACCTCGAAACTATCTCTCACATATTTATTGACTGTCCAGCCACAAGCTCTTTCCTACAGGGAGTAAATCTGTTTATTAGATCGAATATTGACGCAAATTATGACGACCCATATCGCCACTATTTGATTTGCTTAAATCACAGAGATAAAAGTGTTAACTTCATAAATTCGGTTTGCTGTTGGTTTATTGGAAGGAGTTTCCAGAACAAGGAACCCCTATAATTCTGGGAGCGTTATCTTAAACATCTTAAGCTTTTCTTATTAGGTGAAAAACCGGATATTATACGGTGCCTTAAAGACGTTATACCTTGATGACCATTTTATACCCAAAGTTCTGGATCCACTATACACTCTTGTTTATTTATTCTCTCGAAATTACAGCCGTGCCTTACCTTTACCCTTTATTTCACAAGTTGTAGCCAGTGGAGTTATCTCCACTACTAGTATTGATATAGAGTCATATTTAAAACCAGTAGTATCTCTCCTTTTTCTCTCCATCTTATGTGCATTTTATTACTCTATATCCACTGACTTTATTCGACGTATTATCTAAAAGAATAAAAAATTGTGTGCGTGTGTTTTTATATTTATTTTGCTACGGCGCATGTGAAACCCCAGGGCATCCAGCACCAGAGAAGCTGAAATGACACTCTCTGAACCCTTGGTGCCGCTCAGATTTTGCCTCTTGGCTGGTAAGCCGAGTCTTGATCGATTAACTCAGCTTCTTCGGTACAACACAGACCGGAGGGTACTATTAGCCGCTTTGCCGGTGGTATCCTCCTGGTGTCCTGGGGTTTGGCAGGTTCCTCATTTAAAAAAAAAAAAAAAAAAAAAAAAAAAAAAAAAAGCACGTTTACACACTGACACTGCTGACGACACGTCAGCTGGAGCAGTGCACCCGACTTGTTCCATCGCTTTAGGTATACAAGCAGAGAATTTCCCGAGCAGACCCTCCAACTCCTTGTCGTTAACAGCTGTAGCCATGGCTTAAAAGCTATCAGCACACACAGTAATCTCGCCGTTAAACAGTAAACTAGGCGAGATAAGCAAGCTGATAACCCTAATTCGAACCCTAAAGTGGTGTCAGAAATTTATTTGTTGTGTGATTTTTGCACCACTTGGGAATCCAAATTTTGGGACTTAAAGTTTTAATTCCTTGGCCAATTTTTAATTTCTTATTTTTAATACTGGTCAAAAAAGTGAACGGAAAAATTCAAATTTTTTCACTGTTCTCAAATTGATTCATAAAATCCATTTTTCGGCCAACAGTTAAAAAAACTGACCGAACTTTTCACAGCCGAAATTATGATTCTTACCCAAAATCTTGTGCAGAAAGAAAAAAAGGAAAAAGCCTCACTGGTCTGTACATTGGTATCGTTGTAGCGATTTTATTGGCAATTGGGGCAGCTATAGTCGTATATTACAGGTAAGATTGAAAATTAAAAAGCTGCAATAAAATGTATTGATCATACGATAGAAACTGATCCCTCAACTCTGATCTCTTGAAATTTGTGAGCTTAACACACAATATTCCCATACTGTCCAGAAAGGCGCTAATAGGAAGACTCAGGAATTAAACAGGAATCAGTGTAAACACCAAGAACTCAAAAATCGTGTGAGCGGTAGGGAGACAACCTTGAGCTTAAAGTTAATTACGATGTGTTGAGTAAGCCGTAAGGCAGATGCTACCTCATCAACAGCTCAAACTATATCTGAAACTATACTTACTATCAAACTGTTGATTGGACTCAAAAAGGATGATATTCGCTGTCATATCTTTTAATGATGTATAACTATTATAATATATGCCATGATGCATGATATTTAGCCGCAAAATCATTAATTATTGCAAAAAGTGATTGATCATCGATTTAAACCTGCATGCATATAAGTTATTTGCGTTATCAATAACCCAACTCTTTTTATTTAGCTTGAATTTATTTCATTTTTTGATGATGTAATTTCACTAATTGACAAGTGAATTTATTTTGATTATTAGATTTATTTTATATGAGCAAATTTGGTATCATGTAAACATGGTGTTGAGGAGTATGTTAAGTTGCATGCAGAATGTTACTAATAATAGATGTGGATTCTGGTGTAGTTGTACCATTGGGGAGTGTGTGTATTACTATACACAGATGTTTCGTTATTAATAATTATTATTATGAGTATTTTAACTAATTATAATTGAATATCATCAGTATTTTAACTAATTATAATTGAATATAATCAGTATTTTAACTAATTATTATGGATGAAATTATTTATCATTATCACTGTTCGGAGCTGTAGATTAGTTAATTAAAAAAATTTGACTGATATTGGTCAATAATCCAATAAGCAATAAGGTTTGCGTAGTATTCCATATTAGTATTACTATTACTTTGCATTCAAATTCGGATTTCGGGTACTAAATAATATTATACTTCCGTTTAGTTCCGTAAGTAGTGTAGTGCTTTTTAGTTTTACGACCACACCGCGCCGCAAACATTTTTTTTTTTTTTTTTTTTTTTTTTTTTTTTTTTTTTTTTTTTTTTTTTTTTAAATGCAACCTACTAAAACCAATGGGGCCCTCCCCGGGGTCATTACTCTCGCATTTGCGAGAGTCGTCCCTAAGGTGTGAAAGTAGGTCAAGATTTGTTCACACCAAGCCCTAGCATCGCTATTTGCTGACCATCTGCCTTCACTGAAGTATGTTTTTTTGAGAGTGGAGGCCGACCGTCAGCTTGGGATGCAGGGCCAAGTGGTCAACAACGTCAAGGCCCCCTTCCACATGGGCCATGTTGGTTTTGGCAGATACTGTGGTAATAAGATATGAAGTGAATGAGTGAAATGAAGTGATTGAAAAGGGTGTAAAAGAGGAAGAGCTTGTAAGGTAGTTTAGGAATGGAAGGAAGCAGGGCATGTACTACAAAAAAACAGTTAGTAGTACTGTAGGATAGTAACAATAACCATTGATAATAAATAACAAAGACAGCAATATAAATGGGGTGGACAATTTGCCCTAATCGGCCAAGATCGACACAATAGAACTTTTGTGGCCTATTTTGTCACCAGTAAGTGAAAGTTTAAGAAGTTTGATATATCCCTGCCAGATCGGCATGTCCCCTGCCTGAAATCTTTTGCTAATGTACCATTTGGCAACAATATTAAAATAATTTATAATTTGTGAAGTGTGATTACAAACTATAAAATTAATTTTATTGGGGTCTTTGTAATTTCTATCGATTTTCCTTTTTATAAAGTCTTCAAGTATTGTGATGAAGCTATTTGTGTGGATACAATGGAGATAGATATGAGGGATTGTTTCTAAGTATGTGTTACACAGGCTACACATGGGAGTATCTGTAACAATTTTCATTTTGTGTCTCATGTATCTACACGTCGTGATCCTCATTAAAAGCTTGTACTGGAATTGAATCAACTTAAAATTTTTAGATACTAAGAAAAATAGGTTGCTAAGAACGACCGCCCAATCTATTGGTTGATTATTTAGGTCAATAACCCATTGACGTAATGGGGACAGCTCGTTTGGGCAGATAGAGTCGTACATTTTATCCCGAATTTTACTTCCCTTCACCTGTCCAGTTACAGAATGTAAAAATTTAAGTTTTATATTTGAGTCAACAAACTCAATATTCCTTGAGTTAATAGTGGGGCAGTTATATCTCCGTATCCCCATGATAATGTTACAGTACTCAGTTTTGGAAATAGTATTTGGAGACAACTCCCACTTGTTAATGAACATATCGTAGTTAAGGATTGTACTTTGGTCTATAGAAAGAAAATCTGAGATGTAAAATATTCCCTTATCAATCAGATGATTGTTCCAAAGTTTGGCCCCGATGTCGGTTATTGCTTGGTTGTACCACACGCAGTGATCAATAGAACCCAAGGCTGCATTTACCGAACTTATCTTCCACTCAGTGTAACAATTAAGGACGTCTTGAGTAAAATGGCAGTTGGTTTTAGCGAGACCGTTTTCTACGGAGATGGTGATATGGTCAGGAAATTTCAGCTGCATAATCATAATATCTTTCCAAGTGTGGTGAAAGGAATTATTTAGTAGCTTGGATATGAGGCTGGTTTTAAGACCTATAATAAAATCAGATAAATAAAAAAGTCCCAGGCCTCCATGTTCCTTATTTCGGGTAATAATCTCACGTTTTACTTTATCGCGTTTGCAACCCCAAAGAAAATGGAAAATAGCCGTGTCAAAGATTTTGATAAAGGAAGCATCCGGTCGAGGGAGAGGAGAAACAAGATATGTTATTTGGGAAAAGAGAAGGGTTTTAATGACTGTGCATTTACCCATCAGCGTCAGATCCCTCTTGCTCCATCGGTTTATCCAAGACTGAACCTTAATCAATTTATCATTATAATTACTGTTGACAATATCCATCAGTGAGCCATCGTTCATATAAACTATACCCAAAGCGGTGAAGTTATTTGTTATAAAATCATTGCCGTATAAACTTTGAAGGGATTCTAGTAGAGTTGTATTAAGACGAGCTCGACCTAGAGGAATACATCTAGTTTTGTCGATGTTAGCTTTACACCCCGAGCACTGAGCAAAAGTTCTGAGTTCTGTCATAACCGCCTCTACACTTTCAATTAAGGCTTTCAGAAACAGATCAGTGTCGTCTGCAAAGAGACTCTGTAAGATTTCCACACCTGATATGTTAAGACCCCTGATATTAGGATTAATCTGAATTTTATTCGAGAAAGTTTGGGCCACAATCAGAAAGAGAATAGGAGACAGTGGACTACCCTGGTGAAGACCTCTTAGAATATAAATAGGCGAGCTTAAAAACCCATTAATATTGGCGTAGCTAAAGCATGCTTGAAAAGCCACTTTAATCAGTTTAATAATGTATTCGCTGAAACCCAATTTTTCAAGAGTACTGAAGACAAAGTTATGTTCTACCGAATCAAAGCACTTTTCAAAATCAATCTGTAAAAGGAGGCCCTCTTGTTCCGTGTCGTTGTTAAATGATTCCAGAACCATTGACATGAGAATAAGATTATCTGCTGTACTCCTGCCCGCTTGAAAGCCTGACTGGGTTTTGCTGATTATGCTAGGGATAGCCTTCATAATCCTATTTTTAGCTATATGTGTGAAGATTTTATAGTCAATGTTTAGCAGAGTAATAGGTCTCCAATTCTTTATGTAATTAAGTTCCACTGGGCTTTTTGGCTTGGGAATAAGAGTAAGAATACCTATTCTCTGCGAGGGCGACAAGCATCCCCTGTTAATAGATTCTAAATAGGAGTTATACATGATCTGCCTGATATCCATCCAAAAAGTTTTGTAAAATTCAGCAGAAAGCCCGTCCCAACCTGGAGATTTATTGTTGGTTAACTTATTTACAATAGCATCCATTTCTTGCAACGTGATAGGCCCCTCCAGAGTTTCCGTAATTTCTTGTGGGATCTGCTTTAAATCGCTACTGGTTACATAATTATCTATCTCAGTGGGAGATGGGTTAGTTGAGTTATACAGGTCCTGATAAAAGTTAACCACGTGACTGGAGATGTTTTCCTGGTCCGTGAGGTCATTGCCTTCGATGTCTATCAGTTTACTAATACTTTTTTTCTTGCCGTTTGATTTTTCCAGTCCAAAAAAGTATTTAGTCGAGCGCTCCCCCTCCTCTGTCCACTGCACACGTGATCTAGTAATTGCACCTCTCACCTCCTGATCTATAATATGATTTAAATCTAATTCTGCTTCAAATAATTTCTTCTGTAGTATCGTACAGTTTGTTAGGTTCGAATCTTTTTTACAATCTTCAATATCTTTTTTTAACTTTTCTTTTTTTACTGTGATTTCTTTTTTTTTCTTTTTACCAAAAGTCATTGCGAACTGTTTTATTTTGATTTTTATAACGTCCCAAAGACCCCCGTAAGAATCGAAGCTATCCTCTTTAGTATTGTCAATGATTTTCTTTATTTCCTTAATAAAATTTTGATCCAGGAGATGAGAGTTGTTAATTTTCCAATATCCTTTTCCGTGTGCAATAGTAGAGCCCTGGAGGGATAGCGAGATGTAGCTGTGATCAGATTTATAGCCATGACTTATTTCTGTATCACATACAGGTAGATTGACTAGGCTATCTTGGATCAAGAAAAAATCTAATCTAGACTGAGTTTTGTACTTTTTGTTAAAATGAGTAAAAACCCGTGCCTCAGCACCTCTGTTAAGACGGAAAATATCACTAAACCCATAGTCGGTAATGCAATCATTAATGAATTTCTGGCAGCGACTATTTGCATGGGTGGCGGACCCCCCCTGCTTATCCAACATGTTGTTCAGAACTGTATTCCAGTCTCCAACAAAAATTATTTGATCATCTCGTGAACGACTGAGAGTTTCTAGAAATATGTTTTCAAGAAATGACACATCGTCATTATTTGGGCAGTATACATTCACCAAACACAATTTGAGAGAGTCGTACTCTATTTCTACGAGGGTCGCGCGACCTTGGCTGATGCTACGATGGTTAATAATAGTGAGATTCGAAGCATCAGGTTTAACAAGTAGGGCGATACCGGTTGAGTTTGAGGTACCATGGTTAAAGATTATCTCCCCGTCCCAAGAATTTTTCCACTCTCTCTCAACTTGAGGTGTTGAGTGTGTTTCTTGAAGACAAATAATTTTCTCAGGTTTATTTTTTAACCAGTTTAAGACAAGATTACGTTTAATCGGGTTTCCCATACCATTGCAGTTGAAAGAACCGATTTTTGGGCATGCCAACCCACTATTGCTGTTATTTTGCGGAGTCATTGTTAATCTGAAAAATGCCCCATCCTTCCTTGGTGTAGTTCTTAACACCCCCTAAATTAAACCCCAGAAATGAAGGTGATGGTGTTGTGAAAACGTGAGAATATACAATGACAATAACACAAAAAACATGCACACACAACATAGAAACACGGAAAACGATCGTAGAGAAATAGACTCTACAGTGATACGGCATGTTTGTACTACAACCTACACTAGCCCCGCCCTTATTATAACAGTTATTATCGGAATAATAGTAATACCAATTATTGAGGTGACGAGGTAGCAAGGTGAAAAACACACTGTACCTAGGAAACATGAGTGAACGCGTCGCAAGGAGAAGTTGTGACAGTGTACCCGAAAATGTAAC